ATAAGCAGGGAAGGACTTTACGGAGAGCCTTCAAGCTCTTCAAAGCCCAAGGTTATGAAACTGCCAGTACCATGAACTTAAACAAGAGGACAGCTGATTTTATACAGGCTTCCCTTAACAGAGAAGGGTCTCGGAGCAGCACTGTCATAACCCACCTTTCCCAGGAGGGAGGGAAGGCCTCTCTGTTAATGTTACCCCATGAACAGATCCGCCTCTGGCTGGCACTGAAGCCTCAACTGTAACACCAGGCTGCAGAGTCAGCCCTTTGCTCCAAGGCCACAGCCGACTGGCAGGGCTGGCCCCTGAGGAATACGTGCCAGGAGCGCAGCAGGATTTATCTCAGCACTTCAGATCTGGCGCATGTCCAAAAGGCAACCAGGAGGTACTGAGCAGCCAACAGCTCACGGAACCTCGCAGTCAAGGATGGGCTTCCAGCTGCTCCCAAGCTGGACACAAGGACTGGGAGAACGCAGCCAAACTGCTCACAAGAACACAAGCAGCTGGGGAGTTGAGGGGTTCTTCATAGACCCACAGTATGTGCAGCTTGCATCATCCATACAAACCTTCCTCACCTTCTCACTCACTTGTTTAGGCAAACAAGGTATGGAGAAATCTCTCCCAGAGGAGACCAGCGATAAGCCAAGACAAACAGTACTTAAATATCCTTGCAGCACTTGTAAGAGCTGTGCCAGCTCTCCCAGTTGGCTTTCCTTTGTTATTCTAGTAGAGGGAAAGGACTGGAAAGGATGATGCTAAACAGCAGTACCTCAAGGACAATTCTAACAGGGAGATGCTACCTACCGGTAGCAGTCCAGGTAGTCTTTGATCCCTTTGAAGCTGAACCCGGTGCTGGCAGAATCGGGCCTGCAAAAAAAAAAAAAAAAAAAGGATTAAAAAAGCAACTGTGAACTATCAGAGCCACCTCTGTTTACACCTGCAGAATCCAGCATCAGTCCAACACAGGTGGGGAATTGCCCGCTTCCAGGTCATCGTTGGGACTGCTTTTCTAAGGATTTTAGCTCACGCTGTCAGACTCCTTGGAACTGAGCATTTTTCCGTGCTCTAGCTTAAGAACTCAAGTGGGAAGCAAGCTCAGTGTTACTAAAAGCTCAAATATATCCAGAGAATCTACTCTGAGATGCTGGTGAAGCACAGCTCATAGACATCTTCAGTAACTCCTAGACAGGCCCACAGCTAAGAACAAAACCAGATGGGGAGCGCATTCATAGCAGTCCAGCTGCCCCCATCTCAGCATCAGACCTCAGTGTGACACGTGAGCTTCTGTAACATTTCATCCCTGATCTGGTGAGATTTAATCAATCACAGGCCGCAGTGAAGAAGCTAAACAGGCTCTCCCTAAGTAACAAAGACTAATTTCTTGTGGGTTGTTTGCTTTGTACCCTGTGTTTCTTTTCTCCTCCCAGCAACTGCTGTTTTCTGTTTGAGATTCCTTGCAGGCAAGAAACAGCACACCTGCAAATTCACTCAAGGGATGTATGGACTGACTGGCCAACCACTAAATATATCCACTCTCATAGTGCAAGCAGAGCCAAGCAGGCTTCCTGAAGCTAGCAGAAACTTCACATTGCATGCAACTACTGGTGATTTGTAAGTTACAAATTAAGAGGTGGCTGGCAGCACTATTTGTTTTGTAAAGTACCGTGACATGGAAAGAATTTTTAATCCAGATTACTGATACTTTCTGACTAATATAATGACAACACGTGTATTCTTGCACTCCGCTCTTAAACATCACGTACTCACCTTGCGTCTATCAGCTGTTTCATAATATCCAAAGTGCTCTTAGCCTCAGATTTGTCTTCTGTAACCTCCGCAGCAACCTCCGGGATAAACGTGGGATCTTCACAAATGTCAAGAGAACGCATTAGAGACAAGTTGTGCATCCTGAAAGAGAGAGAGAGCTGCTGCTAGAGTTTGCAAGCTCCACCATGACTAATTTCTCCAGACTGTTCAAAGTGAACTTTACCCAAGAACATTTTGTTGTAGCAGTCTGCTCCCACAGCAGGGAGTTGCAACAGTTAGAAGATAATCTTTCACACCTTTCTAAACCCTTGCTGAAGACAGCTCCCAATCTATTCTGCTTGCTTAATAGAGCCTCCTACCTCTTGACGTAAGGCCAGCCAGCCTCCATAAACCCAAGCTGGGAAAGAAACAGTGAAAGTTTTCCCATTTGCTCTAATTAGATACATCACCCACAGACCAAAAAAGACAGAAACGGAGAGAAAAAGATATAAAATAAGGTAGTCTGCATCATACATTCAAACATTACCCCGTTAAAACCAGTGCCTCTTCAGACTTTTCCGTGACCTGCCTCAACATAGCTTGTTTGCAACCAAATGTGACAGGGGTTGAATCTGCATGAGTTCAGGGGTTGGAGTACATGCGAGTGAAGCATAGAAACCCAGACCATGTCACAGATACCAAGGAATGATCTACTGCATAACCGCAGTGACACTTGTCTGGGTTTGCATTACTTAAAAGGCTCAGACCCAAAGTAAAAATTCAGGGAATACCAAGTGCATTCAACACATTTCTCCAAGCCCTGGGATCTGCACAGATGACCTAGCAAATTATATATGTAACCCAAGGGAGGGCGTGAGATTCCTGACTACTGGCTTATAGTGCAAAGTACACTTGCAAGCACAGTTTCTAAATAAAAACATACGTGAGAGGAAAGAAGAAAAAGGTTACTCAAGAACAATGAATGTCTTTAAAAAGAACATATTAAAAACTCTGAACTTCATGTTTGACTTCATTTTCTCACTACTATTATTTTCCCACTGCTGGTGATACACACTACAGATTTGCAAAACCACAAGCTTTGAAAGAAAGACTGCTCTTTAGCAAGAGCTTAGAAAAGCAAAGAGACAATCCGGTGAATTCAGTTCCTGTGCACCTGCCTGAGTGTGAAAAGGGGATAATTTCTTCACATAGAGGGTCACCCAAACCAGAGTAGTTAAAAAAAAAATCTAACAAACCAGCTCTTTGAAACAATCTTACTCATTCTTCACTCAAATTATGCTGCTTCTCTCTTTGAAAAGGTAATCTCAGGTAACCTATAATATGTATGCAATGCAAGCGCCTTTGAAAAAAAAAAAAAAAAAAGAAACAAAGAAGCACAGTAGGAGATAAAACCCTCCACTTACCTCACTAATAACGGCAGTAACAAGAACTGTCCAAAAGCCTAGAAGAAACGTAAGCAGAAACATTGGTTGGCCACAGCTTTGACCTGAGCATCCTCCCCACGAGACAACGAATGCTGAATATGCTCACAATTGCTGCAGAACACCCTAGAGCATGCACTTGTATTTCAGGCCATAAACTCGGTCCAAAATGCTTTCCATCCTCCTCTGACACTTACAGGATTGTAAGGACTGTATTCTCCTGGCTCTCCTGCATCTCTGCAGAGACATGCATTTGTCCTTCCCCAACTCAGCCCCAGAAAGCCTGCACCTGCAGGCTGCAGCACTGTTAAAAGGCACCTATATAGCTCCCAACAGTTACTTTCTTCATGCTCTGGGCATACAAACGTTGGATAGAGCAGAAGCTTATTATTATTTCAATTATTCCCCTTGTCAGCATCTTTCCTGTCACTGTATGTACTCAGCTGCCCTGTGGAAGCCACTCGGTCAGCTCCTGCAGTAAATAAACTGGAAAAGCATGAGAAATGTAGAGGCTCCATGGTAGCAGGCAGCTGCAAACACTCTCTGAATACCTCACTTCCCAATATAGCCATGCCAGCAGCCCCAGGGTTATCAGCCTTGTTCTAGCGTGCCTTAATAGCTCAAGAATGGACTTCCAAAACACTCGAAAGGAGCATGGCTCCGGTACTCAGCGCAAGTCTGAAGCAAGGCACACATTCCTACATCCACAAAGTGACATATTGCTTCACAAATTGTGTAGAAATTACAGCCTCTTTTTGGAAAGGCATCGCTCCTAAACCTACATTTGCTGTAATCTGCAACAGTAAGCACCTGTATGAGGAGGTGGGGAATGTATGTCATCCCCCCTCCAAGGGGTGTATGTGAGGAAAGGAAATGAGCCCAGGGTCACACAGCAGATGTGGCCACAAAGCAAAAGATCAGAAGATATTCTGGTTAGCATATCCTGGAACAAACTGCCCATGAGATAAGCCCACTGTATTCTCAGCAATGAGGGCACAGCCTGCTGTTAGCGTTCAGTCCAGGCCCAACCTGCTGCCACGCTCTGGGACATGTCACGCTACAGAAACAGGACTTCTGCCTGTAACCCCAACACCGTCATGAAATTAAAAGCTGAGTGAGCATCAGGGACAGCCAAACCCGGCCGTCCCAGAGAGGACAACACCACCGGTCACTGCATAAGGAAGGAGATATTTCTCTTCAGAGAAAAAGAATTTCTCCTCAGAGAGCAGCTCCGTGCGCGCAGCACCCCACCACCCCTAGGGGCCACGAGGCACCCCAAAACGCTCAGATATAAGCGTCCCTGTAAGGAATCCCTTACAAAACGCATCTCTATCCTTACACCCAGCCCTCCCCGTGCTGTCACAGCCCCGCTACCCCAGCCGGGCGGCGGCGGACATTTTGTGCCCCGGCGGCCGTGCCCGCGCCCCGACTCACCGTGTTGACCGCATGGCTGAAGAGGCGCAGCCAGAAGCCGCCCAGCCGGGGAGCCCACTGCGGAGAGGAGGCGAGAAATCAGCTCCGGGACCCGCTTCCCCCACCGCTCCCTCGCCCTCCCTAGCTCTCCCCACACCCCCTCAGCTCACGGTGTCCCGCGGAGGGCTGCGGGCTGCCGGCCGCCCCGGCTCCCGGTGCTGCAGCACGGCGGCGGCGCTGCCCGTGTGCCGCCTCCCGCAGCATAGATACAGGACAGCGGGCAGCACCGTGAGGGGAACCAAGATCAGCGGTAGCAGCGCCATCGCCTGCCCTTCTCCGGCAGCCGGCTCCTTGCTGAAGCTGTGGGGCGGTGCTCGGGGCTCGTCCCGCCCGCTGCCGGCCCCCCGGGGCTCGCCCCGCCTGTGGGGTGCCGCCATGTCGCGGCTCTGCCCGGCGCCTCAGTGCCCTGACGGGGAGAGGGATGCGGGGCTCGGTGTGGAGGAGAAAAAGGAGGAGAAGGAGAAGGAGGAGGAGGAGGTTTATCGGTGGGGCCTCACAGGTCAGTGCGAGGGGCTCGGTGCCGGCATTTCGTCTGCTGGATGGGTTTTCTGGTCCCTGAGGGCTGGGGAGTTATTCCTGCCCCTGCGCGCTCACCCTGCTCTTACGTTTCCTCAGGGTAAAGCTGTGGTGCAGCATCGTTTACCTCAATACTTAAGTCTATGTGTAAGAAAAAGGTCGTGAAGATTCTAATTTGACTCATTTTGTGTTTGTTTTGATACACCGTGCCCGGTAATAAGGCTTGCTCTGCAGTGGTGCTAGCCGCAGCCATCTGTGCTTGGGATCTTAGCTCAAGCTGGAAAGCGCCTTGTTGTAATGGGATTATTACACTATTACTAGTTTGTTAACAAGTATTTCCAAACTAGTAGCTTAAAGAGTGTCCCTGAAAGTAGCACTTGCATATTTAAAAAAAGTGGCCAGAGCTGAAAGTGAAGCTGCCTTCCAGGCATGTGGAGTGGCAGCTTAATTATCAGATTAAGTTCCTTGTGCAGGCCTTTCCAATGACTTTGGGGCATTCTTATGCGTACAAGCTCCTGAATATGGTTGAAATGAATGAATTTACTGTAACATCAGCGCTTCTGCTATGCTGCAGGAGAAAACAGCACCTGCTGAAAACTTGCATGCCTTTTCTATAAGGCAGTTAGTTGGCAGAAGGTCCAGTCTGTGCAGGACCTGTTTGTGGTGGCTTCAAGCTGTGACAGTGTATTGGATGGCTATGTAACTTTAACACATTTCTTTTATTTCCAGGCATTAAACTTCGTCCATATCAAATAGAAGGTGTGAACTGGCTGGTGCGATGCTACAAGGTCCAGCATGGCTGTATCCTCGGCGATGAGATGGGTCTCGGGAAGACTTGTCAGGTGTGTCACCTTCTTCTTCTGAAAAATTGGTTCTGTCCAACTTTTTAGCCCAGTGTTTCTGCACGATGAAGAAAAGCACCTAATGATTGGTCAGTTGAGCAGCCACATCCTGAAGTCCTTACACAAAAGACAGAGTTCTTTCTTTTGTTCCCGAATCACTTAAAACCCCTGATAGGACCTGAGTAACATTCCAGAAAAGTTTGGGGAGGGTTGTAGGAAAATGAGTGATCATTTTACACAGTCTTATGAATACACAATTCATAGTGTGTGCGGAATTAACAGGTAATCCACAGTCAGTATGGAGACAATGTAGTTTTGATGCACCTGCAGCAAGATGATTTTTGAGTTTCTCAACATGTGGATTAAAGTTGAGTACATGCAAATTTTTCAGTTTTTTTTTTTTTTAGTAAGGTTTTAAATGGGATTCAGTTTCATTGGAGAATGACTGTTTGTGCTTGAGTTCAGCTGATGGTGTTCAACGAGTCCTTAATAACAAACTGGTAGTTTCAGAAAGTGATATATAGTAGATCTTCCCTGTGACTGTGGGAGAAAGGTCTTTGGAAAAAGGGTTACAAATACTGAGGTCATGTTTTAGGCCCTAAGCTTTTATGGCATTGATGCTGGGTCTTGTTTGGTATTATCTTAGTTCCCTGCTAGTGACCCTGTAGGAACTGGCTACAAAATTCAAGGAGGAGACAGTTTATGCATGTTCAGACATTTTCTTGTTAGTAAAAAAAAAATGTGTTTCCCTTGCCTTCTAGACTATTTCTCTACTTCTTTATTTGATGAAAAAAGTAACGAACAAAGAGAGATTTCTGATACTGTGTCCTCTGTCCGTTCTGAGCAACTGGAAGGAGGAACTGGAGAGGTAAGTTTCAGCAGTTGACTGACTTGCATGAAAAGTTACAAAGACTCTCTTCAATAAGTTCAGTCTAAGAATTTCCTTCCTTTCAAAAGGAATGGAAGTAGAAAGGGAAGCTACCAAAACAATAAACCAATGCAAACACCGCTTGTATTTGATGCATTGCCCTTATGATGCTGTGATGTACATGAATTCATCCATCTTAAAGCAGTGGATGACTTGCAGTACAAATGCCGCCACTAGCTGCTTGTTTTTTGTTTTCTAACCCAATCCCCCCGTGCTCAGCCTCTCTTAGGCAAAATCTGCTGAAGACAGCCAGGATTCTGTATGATGAAAGGTAAGACCCCTGCTGAATAGTGTTTCTTGGCATGCTCACATGCATCTAAAATAACATTACATCTGTGCATGTAACCCATCTTCGCTGAGGTACAGTGTCTGGGCTGATAGCACATTTGCTATACCCAGAATCTGTATGTTTTAAGCTGGAGCCTTAACATTGCTTTTAAGAAGAGTTGCTGAAAGTTAAAGATTAGAACAGATGCATTTCTGCATGGTTGTTGAGAAATGCTGTGTCAGAATCTGAACTCATTGAGGTTAAATTTTGAACTGAGCTGGCCTGATTTGGGTAGACTTGCAGCTGAAACAGTTGGGGAAAAGCACATCACTTAATATGATGTATATCAATGGTGAACAGCTATCCAGGAGGAACACTAGGCAGGTATTAGTGGTGTGATTAAGTGAGGAAGAACTTTACAGACCCAACTCATCTTCCATAGAATCGGTTTTGTCTTCTTTTTCACTGTGAGGGATAGATTTTTTTGAGGTCCTGACTTGGAATTATTTGCTGCAGACATTGTTTACCTTTCTTTTAATAATTTTAATCAATTATTTGGCTCCAGCTGGAGAAACTGTGTTCGTTCACCTGCTTTTCACAAGCTTTTTCAGTTCAGAATAGCAGATGGACCATGAGACTGGTTTACCATTATCTGTGCTGAACATTGAGAGCTAGGAGAAAGCAGTTTATATGGGACTTGTCCAAACCAGAACCAGCAGCTGAGGTTCCAAGCTGAGATTCAAGTTAATCAGAAAGGGGGTAGGTTCAAGAGCTGAGGTCCAGCCATGTGTCACAGGAGGGTAAGGTGTTTGGACAGGAGGTTCTCATTATCTCTGCGTTATCCAAGTTTGACAATGGGGTCCAGGATCTTAAACATAAAAGAATTAGCTTGTCTCACTTTTTTTTTTTGCTATCTTTCTCTTGACAACAGGTTTGCTCCAGGTCTCTCCTTTGTGACGTATGTAGGCAACAAGGAGGAACGACCCAAGCTGCAGCAGAATCTGAAAGAGCAATCTCACTTCCATGCGCTCTTAACAACATACGAGGTACATGGTGTCTTTGTCATTTGAAAGGAGAGCTTGGATTTTTCCTTGCCTTTTCCATTCCATTGTACAGCTCAGCTCTTGTTCTCTGTACTCATCTCTGATCTTCCTCAGTGATTCTCTACTCTGTAACCCACTTCCTCCACTTAGATAAGTTGCTGCAGTTTTCATGTCCCTAAGATAATCTAATTTAACCCCAGCTGTATCACAGCTTGAGTAAAGAAAACAGAAACACCCTTAACTATTGCTATGTGGCAGCTGCGTTGCCTTTCTATGTTTCCTTACAGACCTTCAGTATTTAATGGAAATGTACACGTGATATTTATTAAGATTCTATTAATCAGGCAACACAGGAACACTTTGAAAGAGCTTGCCTGTGCTTGTACCCTCTTCAGCATGCCCTCCTCAGATAAAACTCTCATTCTTGGACTGTAATATGATCAGGTTTCTATTATAATTGACAGGGCTTTGGGCTGAATCTGGTCAGGACTGTCTGGTGAAGGCCCTGTCCTGATCTAGACTGACCCAGTAGGGTTGCTTCCTTGTTGACTGCTTTAGACTCTGCATGGTCTGGTGCTCCGTTGTGTGAAGTGGGGGAAAAAAGCTTAACTTTTCTCTGATGAATCAGTCCCACTCAGGTGTTACTTCATATCAGTACTTTGATTTTGCTTTAAAAGTCTCTTAACAAACACACCAACCAATTTGAAATTAAATGAAAAAGCATCTTACAGATTTTTCTTCCTCTCTGATCTCCTTTTCCCTTTGCCTTCTCGCTTTCCCTCTCCAAGTATTTTACCTTTTTCTTCCTCTGGGAGCTGTCACCTGTGCTGATCTCTCTCAGCCTGCATCTGTTTTCATGCTGCACGAGCGGGACTGCAGTGATAAAGTCCTGAATGTGATAGGTGAAGGTGCTCGTACTGAACCAAGCCTGACAAAATGATCAACTATATGGAGATATTCATTAGCTAGTGTTTTTCTCATCTCTGTTGTTCTGATGATAAAATTCTGTGCTTTTAAAAGGTTTTTCTTAAGTGACACGATTTCTCTTCCTCTTTGAATCTGAAGTTGGGCAAACAATGTGAGCATTTAAGGATATTAGCAGGTCAGATTAATCCTCTGAAGTATGTGTTTGCTTAGAGTTAGAAAGATTGTAATGCTGAAGGTGCACAGTGTTTTCTTAGAGTGAGAAGGATATGAACAAACTTTATAGACTTGAAGAGTGTTTATGAAGTCTGTAAATTTCCATTAATTCTCCAAGGTTTTACTGCTGGTGCTTTGCCAGAGAGGCTTTAAAATGTAGGGTCACAACAGCTTGTGGTTACAAAAGCTGTCATGTTACTTTCCTTAGGTAGTAACTGTCTTCATTCCACTCTGCTGTATTTCGCCATAGTTTACAAGTAGACATAAAAGATGATCTGTTGTAACTGATGAGCCAACTTAAGTCCTAAGTAACGATCCATTTCCTTTCGTTGCAGATTTGTCTGAAAGATGCAGCATTTCTCAAACTGTGAGTCTGGTTTTAATTATTTTTCAAATTTAATTCTGCAAGTCTGTCAGAGGTTTCTGAAGCGAATGTTTATTTGTGTGCGAGATCCTACGCTTGTACCACAAGATCCAAAGATGCTCTTGAGTTATGATTAGAGCTTTGCCTGTACCACGTTTCAGTGAAGGATCCTTAATGTCAGTTAAGATGTGTCTGAACTTCTGCCAAGGACAATTCTCAAGCCAGTTAACTCAGAATAACATGATATATAGCAGCTTATAGCAGGATATTAAATATCAGTCCAGAAGATAGGCATTTAGAGCAGAGGCAATCTTCAAAAGCTTCAGATTATAAAGGCATTAGATGAAAATTTATTTAAATTGACCTGCAGTTATACCGTGGTACTTGTGCTAATACCATATCCTGAAATTTATTGCCTCTTGCCACCAGTCAGAGCTGCGGAGGGCTTACAGAGCATTGTGCTTTCTAGCAAGACTCATTCTACAGCTTAAATTCAGCCTGTAGGAAGCACTGTCATGGTCATGCAGGATTTTACAGGCACATGAAATGGGAAGGAATGTTCATATTTTTTAGAACGGCATAAATGCCTTGTGATAGTGGTACGTGCTGTGACAAATGCTGGGGGCAGTCAGATACCACGAATAACTCGGGATCTTTGTAGGAGCAGAAATCCAGCAGCCCCCACAACACAATTTTGGATCTCAGCAGTAGCCAGGCTCACGGGGGGCAGCCTGTTGTTTTTCTGCAGAGCACCTGCCTTGGCCATTGCTGGAAACAGGAGGTTGTGCTGGGTGAACACATGGTAGAAGCTGCAGTTTACATAATTTACAAAATCCAGTGCAATTTACAGGTTTCCAGGCTAGCACATAATGTCAAAGCGGTGTCACTCAGCATTTTTTTCCTTCTATTATTCCTTCTGAAAAAGGTAGCTGCTAATAAGCTGCTGCCTTGTCCTGTGTAGGTCTTGGAACGCATTGTAAAGGTGGGTCAGAGTTATACCCTATGGCCACTGCTCCTTACAAGCAGAATAACAATAAAAATAAGTGGAGCAAAAGCCCTACTCTAATGTAATACACGGAGGGGTCAGACCTTCTGCCATGCTTCACACTGCAGCATCCTCTCTGCACTTCAGTTGCTGAGCCTGTAGGGACATTTGACTCTCCTGGCAGTGGAGATCCACCCTTAAATAGCAAAAAGAAGAATCAAGGGGGAAAAAAAAAGAGCTATGGGGATCTTGTGCTTATATCATTTCCCACAGAAATGGAGGGTGGAGAGAGAAACAACAAATTCAAGTGAATTTACTCCAGTTATGATTTCAGGAAAACTCATCCAGGCTAGAGCTAAGAAGCTGTGTTGGCTCTTGAAAAGCTGTGAATTCTTTCCACCCTCCCACCCCTCTTGTGATTCTTGCATGTGGTTCATGGTGTGAGAGCATCTTGAGTTCAGCCAAGTAGAGGCACCGCTTATTTCGGTCTTTTTGCACTGACAGTAGTGATTTGTTTGCACCTAACTGAAGATTCTGCTTTGTTTGTTCACAGTTTTAACTGGGCTGCCTTGGTTGTAGACGAAGCTCACAGACTGAAAAATCAGAGCTCTCTGCTTTACAAGACACTTTCCGAGGTAAAATAACTCATCCATCTTTTAGCATCTGAAGATTTTTCTCTTCACAATAGGATACATATTCTCCATTTGTTCCTCTGTGTATTTTATTAAGCTCTGGGCCACAACCATTTTCCATCAGAACTGGTGAACAGATTCCCATATTTAGTGGCAGACAGACAAGGTACTATTGTGTTGGCCTTATGTGGACATGGGCAGTATTTGGAGCTTGTCTTTTATTCTGACTCATGTTTGTGCTTGACAAGTTGGAGCGATTTGAGAGACCACAAAATGTAAAGAAACCACGTGTAGCGCTGAACCACAGCTGTGCTACTGAAGCAATAGAAGTCTGACTGAGGTTGGACAGTATAAAGTGACAAAGAGGATATCTCCAACGTTGTCTAGTTGGTAGGACCCTGAATCCTGACCTGTTGACTTCCATTGTCTCACTTAATGGAGCCACCATTGTTTATTGAAATTAGTAGAAATGCTCTAACTTCCCTTGGGCCTTCCCAGGTGAGAAAGCACCCCTGCTTTCTCATGAATTAAATGAATGTCTGTGTGAAGGATTCTTGTCATGGCAGTGAAGCATGGACGTTAGGTTTGGACTGGCAGCAGCAGCAATGAAATACAATACTTCTATAAATAATTTTTTTAATTAGATTCCTGTAAGTCTTATCTTCTGAACGTATTTTTCATGATGGCTGTATTTCAGGAGTTTTGGTTATAGTTGAAAAGAAGTAGAAGTGATTCACCTGAGCTCTCCTAATGTATTTTCTATTTCTAAACTTAAGAAAAGATATGTATTTTTTCAAAAGCAACCATATTCCCCAATTACCTTTACAAAGGTTACCAATGAGCAGCATGGACCAGATAATGACACTGTGATTGTCAGAATTAGTCAGAAAATACAAATGGACGTGATCTTTTGCGGTTTCATTTCACTGGCCTATTCTGGCAGCATTTTCTAGTCAACTCTAATTACTTAACACTGAGTATGCAGTATTTGACTGTAGGAAGCAGGGATGTGGGAATTTTAATTATGTCGCTTTTGCACTTTGTTCTTGTTTTGCTATGCCATTTTCCTTGCACTGATGCTATCCTACTCAGTTTGGTGGAGCTCTTTTACCATACCATATGTTGGATGGGTTTGGCAGAAGTTTGCAGCATTCTACTGGCATTTATGTGCCACCTCTCATCTTGAGGTCAAGCTTAGAAGTGGTGTGGGTGGAGATGGAGTTGCACATGAAGTAACTTTTCATTTTCAGATACCATCTCCTAATCATTTTGTTTTGCTCTTGGTTCTTTCAGTTCTCTGTAGGCTTCAGCGTGCTACTCACGGGCACACCAATCCAGAACAGCCTCCAAGAACTGTACGCCTTACTCAGCTTTATTGAACCTGACATTTTTCCTAGGGAAGAAGTGAAAGCATTTGTGGAGTGTTACCAGGCAATTGAAAAGGAGAGTGAGACAGGTAATTAATAAGCAATGCTGTACTCGAATCAGAACCAGCCGTTATCTTGACTGGGAGGCAGGCATGTTGTGTCCCCTTTATTTGCATTTTTTAATGATAGTTTTAAAATGAAGCCACTAAAAGTAACGGTTACTTATCTTAATGTAACTCTTAAAATACAGCTGCACACCTGATGTATTTGCTTTGTCTGTAAAATCGGGCTTGAACTATTTCATTAATAGATATAAGGTTCCTTTGTGCATTTATTTTGGAAGTATAGTTGTGAAGGTACTGTATAAATTACTTATGCTTAATTCAGTTATCTTTTATTCTGAATAGCCAAAGAATTACACAATCTTCTGCAGCCATTTTTGCTTCGAAGAGTCAAGTCTGAGGTGGCTGCAGAGCTTCCAAAAAAGGTGGAAGTGGTTCTGTACCATGGCATGTCAGCTCTGCAGAGGAAGTACTACAAAGCTATTTTGATGAAAGATCTAGGTAAGTGAGGGCTTTGTACCCTATCACTTGATTCGGGGGCTGTTTGATTCATCACAAGTTAAAACCATGAAATAGGAGACATACGGGTCCAGAGATGGTTTTTGGCAGGACTAGGGAGGGTTAGCTTGAGGATTCTGCTTTGGGTCAGCCTGTAATTAAAAATCTTATTACCAGGTAAGCCTGCTCCTGTCCCTTGTTTTTGTGTTCAAACAAAAAGGTTACGTAGGACATCTTAGATCTGTGGATCTCTACAGATTTTCCAATAGTAATACAGATGCAATATGGCATATTGAAAACTACTGGATGTAGATTTGAGTTTCTTAGGAAACCATGTGATGCAGCCACAGACCCTTACCATAACAGCTCGCTCCTTGGCACTTGGTATACAAACTAGCTGAAACGAAGTAACCTGAGGTATGAGAGCAAAGGTATTTGCTTGTCTCTGAAATCCTCCTCTTTCATCAATGCATACTACATTATGTGGTTTGCCAGTGCCTTTGTGCTGTATGGAAAATACAACTGGTGGGATGGAGAGCCTTTGTTCTTCTAGGGCTAATGCCTGGTGCTGCAAGGAGCCACCATGCAAGCTCAATCTTCTTCTAAAGTCAGCCTATGTGCGTATCTCTTTGCTTTCCCCTCACAAATATACATTCTCTATTAACTTCCTGGAAGTCTTCACTGTGCTGTATTACTTTGTCGTTGTTATTGTTGGAAAATTCAAATGAACTGCACCAAATCACTTTCACTATTTCTGATTATTTCTATATCTATAATGTACTTTTAGAACAATGTCCAATGTCACTGACCCTTTCCAGGGAGTCCAGAAAGTTCCAGGGATTTTGACAAGGTAGAGGAGTTTTCATCAGGGTCTTATTTCTAAAGGCTTGATCAAAAAAAAAGTGAGGAAATTTAATTTGGCTCATGAAAACAAGTATGTTAATCTTGAGATGGAAATCCAAATGCAAAAGTTACGCACAGCGTTACTTTCAGTGCTGAAGCAGCATAGAGCAGTGTTCAGGTGTTCTCAGTCACACAGTGGTGACATGTGGGTTTTCCTGCTCTCTTCTTTTTTCTGTGTTTTTTGTTTCAGATGCATTTGAAAGTGAAACAGGCAAGAAAGTAACACTGCAGAATGTCTTAAGTCAGCTTCGGAAGTGTGTCGCCCACCCGTATCTTTTCAACGGTAAGAAAACACTCTTCTCTCTTTTGAAGTAGAAAGAAATTCTTTTTTTTTTTTTTTTTTGTGTACACGTTGGTTTTCTATAATTGCTTGGCAATGTCTTAGAAGGAAGTAGTAAACAACGTTGTACTTGGATCAGAACCAGCTGTGAGTTTGTGACCAGTTCCAACACATGACAGCTCATCAGCGATGAGGAATAAAGAAGGGGCCTGTGAAACCTCTTTTTTTTTTTTTTTTTTTTTTTTTTTTTTACTTTATTTCTCTACTTGATTTCTTGTGTCTTTTCTCACCTAACCGATGAAATCATTATTTAATTTTATCAAGTACTTCCAAAAGTACTGAGGGCGTTCTTTATAGGCAAAGACCATTCACTTTTCAAACAAACATCTTGGGGGTCTGCTTGGCGGTAGTTGGCAGTGCAGACACTTAGAGCTTGACCACTGAGTTGATACTCATAGGGTATTAGGTCTACCTCTGAAACTCCTTTCTGTTCCAGGTGTCGAGCCAGAGCCCTTTGAGATTGGAGACCACATTGTTGAAGCCAGTGGCAAGCTGTGTTTGTTGGATAAACTCCTTTCCTTCTTGTATGCTGGGTATGTCACGCAGGGGTGAGGAAGGTGGGATTGAAACAGGGAGAAAAGGTAAACGAAGAAGAATTGTTTTAGGTAGCCATAGATTGTGCAGACTATTCACCACAACTCAAGCACTGCCCTGTTTCTTGCGTGCTGCTGAGTACCACAAGGAAGTCATTTCCTTATAAAGAGCTGCATTACAGACTGTAGAGGAATCTCAAAGGTTTTTGTATCTACCTTTTAAGTATTTCTCGAAACATGTTCTCATATAATGCCAAATTTATCCTGGGAACTTGGGAGAATATACATCTGACATGGTTTTCAGCATATATTGTTTGATTGAGTTTCCTGAGAGTAACTTGCAGCACATCATCAGTTCTGTTCCTTTGCACTACCATGCCTCTATTAGCCCAGGAGGCAGAGTGCGTAATGAGCATGAGAAGAAAATTTAAGTGGACTGAAACCCAAGAGTAAGCTGAAATTTCAGCTTTGAGAACAGTATTCAGAACTTCTGATCTTTAGCTCTGGTGACTTCAGAACCTGGAACCCAAAGACATTGGGTATTTCCCTCCAGCTCTCAGACGGGAGACAAATCAAACCACAGTCTGTGTTCTTGTGAAGTCTGTGAATTGGTGCCTCCTGCATGATACACAGATCCTATCTGCTCTCATAATTGGGCTGCAGTTTCCCTCTGACTACTCCCTAAAGCACAGGGCTTCAACAGACCCTACAAAGCTCTGATGTGGTAGTGGAGGGCATGCTGTGAATAGATGCCTCTCTCCCTTGGCCACACAGACAGCCCTGTGCAACTTCTGGACTTGAAAAATGTCCGTGTTCTGTTCGACTGAAACCTGATTTAAACAGAGCACTCTTTTATCACCATCTGAGGCCCAGAGCTGGAAGGGATGAGAGTTGATTTCCCACTTAAATGCTGTCTGCAGTTGTGTGTAATCTTTGAGGGTCATAGACGGAGGAGTAAATGCTGTGCTGTCACAGAGATGCTGATACCATATTTTTCCAGCATTTAAGATACTTGGGGTATGTCGTTTGAGAACAGTCTGGAGTGGCTGGTTGTGTGGTGAGGAAGACCTCATGTTGAAGCCGAGGATCCTTTTAGACAGGATTCTTTGGGCCCTCACCGGGCTGTATTCAGCCATGGCAAGTGAGGCTGACTGGTTACATCTGGATGTGGTGCCGAAAATGTGGTGAGGGAATTGGCAGTGACTCTGTGAGCCTTGGCGTGCAGTGGTGGTGAGTCCTTGCTGTGTAACAGTGGCTGGTTAAGCTTTTGTAGCCCCTCTGCTGCTCTGTGAAATGCTGTCGCAATACGTTGAAGCCCGTGATGTCTCATTCTTCTTCCAGTGGCCATCGTGTCTTGCTGTTTTCTCAGATGACTCAGCTGCTTGACATTCTGCAAGACTACATGGATTATAGAGGTACGGTCTGTGCACTTTGGCAGCAGAGGGCTTACCTGAATGATCTCTGCCATACACTGTTCCTCTGGGCTGATCTGCCTGGGGTGGAGAAGGGATTGTGATGGGGATTTATTGCTTCTTAGTAGATATCCTAAGTTGTATCCGCGCAGTTTGTGAGTTGGAAGGAGCTGAGTTTCTCTCTTTGCTGTGCCTGCCTGTAATGAACTTGCACTTCAGTGTTGTTCTTCAAATTAACTTCAGCTTTGGTTCCCTGATAAAATGGAGCTAAGAGATGGCAGGGTAGCAAAGGTTCATTACATACCTGTCTTCAATTATATACCTGAATCCTGAAGTATTTACACTAAAGGCAGTAACTCTCGGTTCAGTTTGTCCAGTACAGAACACAAAATGTGCCACATTCATACCAGGAAATTAGTTTTTGATTAAAACAGTTGTTGGCAGTGGGGCCCCAACGCGCCTGCTTTGGCAAGGTTACCAAAGTGTTCTTGGGACCTTTTCTTTTGTTTCAGTCCACATGGCTCCATGCCTACTTAGGATTTCCCATGAAAGAGGCTTTTGTTTGGTGTTTATGGTTTTGGACAGCTAATAATGCAATAGAAAGCCAAGTCTAAGGCCATATCCCATACTGCTTGCTCACAAGAAAGCACACACTGAAGGCAGGAGGGAGTTAGTTTAAGGAAGATCTGATGGTTGTTGGCCTGTATTGTGGGGCCAACAGCCAGCACAACAAAGTCTGAAATAGGACTTTGTGCTAATGTTCTTTTAATTTGCCTTTTCAATTTTCCCATCTAGTTTCCACACAGTAAATCAACCGCTAAGGATTTCTGCTTCAGATTGACTGTTGACAAAGAGTAATTTAGCTGAATCTGGAAGTTAGGGTCACTACTTCAGTTTATACAAGGTTTAACTGGAAAAGAACAAAGGGGTCGAAGCGAATAAAATTCAAATCAAGGCAGGAGGATTTGGCGTAAAAAGTCAGTGAGCCTATGGAGAATGAGCTAAGCAAATGAGAGCATAGACAGCATTTCAGAAACATAAATTTTGCTTGTTTTGGTAAGGCTACAGCTACGAGAGGCTGGACGGGTCTGTCAGGGGTGAAGAGAGACACCTTGCCATTAAGAACTTCGGTCAACAGCCCATCTTTGTCTTCCTGCTGAGCACCAGAGCAGGTAAGTAAGTAAGGAAGAGACAACCCCTGTCTTGCTCCTGCACTCTTCTTTTGTTCTTTCTGGCAAGAATTCAGGGTGTTCTGAGTCCTGCAGCCCCTGTTCATATGGGGGATTTTTGAGGGAGACTTGACACATCCTGAACTTGGGTTTCTCACCTAGGACATCTGGTTTCTGTGCTTTCCTTTCAGCAGCTGATGCCAAGATACTTTTCATGTTGCAGCCATTTGAGTTACTTTTTCATTCTAAGCCCTATGCCTGTCCCTGTGCCAGGTTAAGCTCAAGGAATCTCACCAGCATTTTATTTCTGCAAGCGCCAGACTTTAGGCAGGAATAGACTTCCTTTAGGTAAGCTGGTGGAATTGCTTCTTTGGTTTCCTGAACATGGATGTGCTCTCTAGCTGTCAGACAGGCTCAGCTGAGAGCCTTTTACCGTCCAGAGACTGCAAAGAATGCCATGGGACTGCCATCTGTGCAGTTCTTCAGGCAGATCTGGATCTTCTACACAGTTTCAGACCTCCCTGTATCGATTCAGACAAGCACTCTCATCCCGAGAGAGGATCAACACTGCTTGAGCTCAAACGTCAGACTCAGTCTAGGTTAAGTTGCTTTTTACTGCACAGCGCTGTGGCCAAGGCATCTTGTATCCAGCTGGAAACTGCTGTGCCAGCAGTATTTCCATCCTTGTTATGTTTTGGGCAGAGATTTTCAGGTGCACAACTGTCTCCACTTGCAGGGATATTCTGATTATTGTGAATTGCTTGGCATGAGCGGGAAGGAATGTACTTCAACAGGTTTCCCCTCTTTGGCTATGGTATGCTAAATGCTATAGTCAGATATTAAAAACAAACAAAAACAACAACAAAAAACTGTATTTTTTTTTCCTTTCATTCCACGAGAGCCCAAATTCTAACCTCAGAAACTTTTTAAGTCATGTAAATACCTAGGCCCTGGTTATTCTGTAGTTGGGCATGGTGTTTTTCACTGTTTCAGCTGTCAGGTTTGCCAGTAGCCTCTATGCTGCAGCCAAGTCATGACTTGGGCAGTCTTTTGTAGCCTCAGTGAAGGCAGTCCTTGCTGCATAAGTTTTTCTGCCAGCTGAATAATGTCTGTGGTCATTAGTCTTAACAATCAATCTCCTTTGCATTGGTTCACTTGCATCCTATCTTCTCCTCTCCTCTTCCTCTTTTTTTTTTTCCTTTACAATGCACAATACTATTTATTTTATTATTTTTTTGCAGAAAGCTGGAATCACAGCTAAGTATAGAAATACTAGGTTTATCCAATCTCTTTGGATCACTGTGAAACTCAGGCTTTGGGTTGAGAGATGGATCAAATTTGATGTAGGTTGATCAGATCTGACAGAACCTTGCACAGCGTAAATTCTCCAGTGGCACCTTTATTTTCTGCTGGTGACATATTTTGTGATCTTCTTTGTTCATAGGTGGAGTTGGCATGAACCTGACAGCAGCAGATACAGTTATTTTTGCTGACAGTGATTTTAACCCACAAAACGACTTGCAAGCAATAGCAAGAGCTCACCGGATTGGGCAGCACAAGTGAGAAACGTTGCTACTTCTTGTGTGGTTGCTGAATCTCTCGGTCTTTCAGTAATTCTTTCCCTATCCATTAGAAAGGAGGCTTAAAGGACAATAGATTAAATGTCAGAGAAAGATCAGAGAATATCTCATGTCTTTTGTTGTTTTTTTTTTTTCATGCAGTCTTGTCCTTGTCACATGTCTAGGGTGCAAGCTTTGTAGATTTGAAGGAGGGGAGGGAATGTGGAGCATTTCCTGCGCTCTTGCAGTGAGCACTGGTCTTGTGTCAAGAAATAGTTGTTTCAGCATTAAATTTCTTCTGACTGTCTTTGTTCATTTTGCTCTTGCCTTTTTGTCCCTAACAAAAGATTGGGTTAGGCGACAGAGTTCCATGCAAGCAAAGAGCTTAACAGCTTTAATGCACCTCAAAAAAAAAAAAAAAAAAAAGGAAATAATAAGAATTCTCTTGAACTTTTGAAGGCCTGTAAAAATTATCCGCTTGATTGGGCGAGATACAATTGAAGAAATAATCTACCGAAGAGCTGCTTCCAAGCTTCGGCTGACAAATGCCATTGTAGAAGGAGGCCAGTTTGCTCTGGGAGTACCCAAGCCTCAAGGAGCAGCAGATTTACAGGTAAAATAGAACAATAACCCTCAGTTTGACTCCAGTAATGTCTGGAAATGCCAGAATGTTTCTTGAATTTTGTATGATATGAACCTATTAAAGCATTTATATTTTGGGGGAGATTTGTGTTGACATGACAGATGTGTCCAAGGAACCAAAATTATATTCTAGGTCCAGACATGATTTGAGATTTGAAGACAGTTCTTAGAATTTTGAGGTGCATCTAATGTGTAAAAGGTGTGTGTTTTCTTGGTGAAGAGGGGAAGGCAGAACCTCTCTTGTACTACTTGTATATTTTTAATCATAACGGGTATAAAGTGGAAGCTGACTCATTGTTTCTAGGAACGTATCCGTCTCTGTTGCTTCTCTCTCAAAAACAGAGCTGATGATGAGCACTTTGTCAGCTTTTGGTTGCTAGTCTGAAACTTGCTCAACCTTCTGTTGACCTCCTGGCAAATAAAATGTCTCAGGAGTCAGGGCGTGATTTATAATTCTGACCTGAAAGCTGAGGTTTAGGCTGAGAACTTGGGTTGAAAACATCAAGCAAAGTGAGATCAGGGGGAATGTATTCCCCTGTATGCAGCTTAACCTAGGAAAGGTTTGGAATTAGTGTATCTTTTCCCCCCGCCACCCTCTACCCCTCCATCAGCATTTATCTCAGCAATTACAATTTCCATGGGAGAAGTGGAACTGAGCCAATAGGAAATTCCACGCTGATATTTTTCTCTCCGTTAATTTTTGTGGGATATAAATTCTTCCCCTCCCTGCAGCCAACAGGCCTGGACCTTTTGGCTCTGAGGAAAGCTGCTTGAATGCCATCAGCATAATGCTGTTTTATTGTTTAGCCTGCAGAGAAAAATGACCTTTCGAGTCTGGATGAGAATGTTTGAGGGAGATATTCTGTAGAGGCCTGTCTCATCAGGTATTAGGAGAACTAAGCGTGTTAAAACTTAAGTATTTGGACAGGTAACATAAAGGATTAGATTCTTCCACTCTTACAACCTTTGTATTTCTGTCTCAGAAGCTCAAAACACTGGGATTGGCATGGAATTAGGATATTTTAATAATGGACTTCCCTTCTCTTTGTTAAAGCTGAGTGAAATCCTGAAATTTGGCTTGGATAAATTGCTGTCCTCTGAAGGGAGTACTATTCAAGATGTGGAGCTAGAAAACATCCTTGGAGAGACAAAGGAAGGGAAGTGGATAACGGATGTTGTCCTGCCACGCGAGGACGAGAATGAAGAGGAGGATACAGAGAGTAAGTTAAGAATCTAAGTACCTATGTAATGAGTGACACTTGAATGCTAGTAGAGAACATCCACTAGGCTGGAGTTGCATTTTTGAGGTAACAAGAAGAAAAGTGGACTTGTAATTAAACAAGTGACCTGGATTTTGTTGGTGGCTTATCCGTGGTCTTTATTTTTGAGCTTTTATTTGTCTTTCTTACTGTGTTCTTGTTTGCCTATCCATTAGATAATGGTTACAATACTCTACCCAGTTTGGTGGCTTGGGGGGGCTGAATTCCTTAATGTGATTCAAATATTTTGAGACCTCAGAAAAGGGAAAGTATTCAAATTACAACTACTGTTATTCCCCCCGAGAGCCCTTATGACAGAATTACAGTTTTAGAGAGACAACAGTGACTTAAGGAAAGACCATATAGCATGTGTTTCATAGTTGTACAAAAGATTACTGGCCATGAAAATCACAGGTTTAAATGACCTTAAAGAGTTCCAAAATAAGAGGTAAGAAATGCAGAGCCATGGAGTCTAAACAACTAGAACAAACCTATTTTGTCTTTAGAACTCTACCTTCCAATCCAAATGTCACATAACTGTGATCACTTCTCCATAACCCCATATTACACGAGAATAAATTCTAAGGAAACTTTCCCTCTTGTGTCATAATGAGAGAGACTGACTTTGCTTTGAGTACACAGTAGCACATTTCTGCGACCAAAGCAGAAATATGGCCCTTTAGGGTAGGTATTGTCCATTATATAGCAGTTGCCAGCAACAAGCAATTCTCTGAGAGTTGGCTAAGAGTGGTATTTTCTGTTGCTACTTAAAGAAGAGCAGTGGTACCACCCTGTGTAATAGTTACTGGGAAAACAGCTCACCCGATGAGCAGTAACTCTGGATTGCCAGTTCCATGCTTTTATTTTGTTTGCAAACTCTAAAGGAGAAGTTTGCAATCCATTTACATGAGTTGTAAAGCTAAACAGATTCACTGCTGGTAGGGGTGGAGTGACCAAAGAGAACAGTGATGGAGCAACAACTTTAAGCAGTTAATTGGCTGAAATAGGAAAAAAATAGTTAACTGAAAAGCTTTTGTCTGAGGAAGTGGGTCTTGATTCAACATGATGCTGCCACTGACTATACAAAAAAAGTAATGATGACAGTAACTGTCTTTTTTCTACTGAGGGTAGAATAGTGTCACAGAGAAGCCCGTTTTCTTTTGATCTCACTATATGTATTCAGATGTGAGTGGCTTTCCATTCCTTTTTATGTTTTTTCATTATTTTTAAAGATCACATGTATGTATATGAAGGCAAAGATTATTCAAAGGAACCCAGCAGAGAAGACAAAAAAGCATTTGATCAGCTTTTGGATCTTCAGAAAGCCTTGACCTGAAGAGACCACTATGGAGGGGAGAGCTCTCCGGAACAAAACAAACGTAAGGCAAAAGACATGAGAGGGCATATGATGCTCCTAATTGTGGAAAATGAGGCTGGCAGTTTCAACTCCTTATTTACAGCTTGCAGAAAACATGTTAAAAGATTCGGATGCCAATGTAGTAAGGCTCTTGAATCTGAAGGTTGGACAATTCATCAATTCTGAGGGTGGATCAGAGATATTAGTTCAGGGCACTAATACAAATTTATGTCACAAAACTGTATTTACGTGACTGCTGGGATTTGATGGTTAAGACCTGTGGGTAGGTAGACAAATGGGAAAGGAGTATGTAACCAGACATGGGTTTGAGGTTAACATTCTTTTTGTGTGATACTTTCTCCAGGCCCTTCTCTCAGGCCTCCGGGAGCAGTCGACCAGGAGGAAACATTTGTTGAGCACGGAGGAGCTGGAGGCTAGGAGGAAGAAGCGCCAAGAAGCAGCAGCAAAGAGAGCAAGGCTTATGGAGGAAAGAAGGAAGGCAAAAGCAGAGGCAGAACACATGAAAAAGTATGGCTTGCACTGTATTAGCTACTTTTAAACTGATGTCTATGCTCTGGAGAAGTGAATCTGATTGCCCAAAACAAAATCGTGGTCTGCATCCACTCTGGCAGGTGGGGCTGAGAGTAAGGGAAGGAGATAATGACAAAATTGCTTCAGACCACCCTCATGAGAGGGTAACCTTGGTTCCTGTCTAAAATAGAGGAGGGCAGCAGAAGGAAAACTAGTTAGTGTCTCCTGTGTTTTGTTGCAATCTTTTAAAACAAGGTGTTAGCCACCTGCCTTTGATTTTTTTTCACTGAACATCGTCTTCTCTTGTTTTGTTACAGGATGGCCTGGTGGGAGTCAAATCATTACACGTCTTCCTGTCTCCCTTCAGAGGAAAGTGATTCTGAAGAAGAGTCTGAAGAAGGAGAGTCTGGGCTGAATGTGGATTTAGATTACAGAGATGTGGACCTAAACTGTATCAAGTATGTCATGGGAGATGTCACCCACCCCAAAGCAGAAGAGGAGGATGCCATCATTGTCCACTGCCTAGGTGGGACTTATGACAATAGAAATGCACAGGACCTCTGTTAAGACACTAAAGCTGAGGAAAAAAATCAGGTTAGAGTTCCTCCTGAATCAGTATTGGAGCAGCTCTTGAACCAGGGCTATAGTAGAACATTATAAGCTGCTTTGGCTTCTGTTAAAATTAGCACAAAAACTCATTTTTAAAGTGGAAATGTCAACTGAAAATAAAAGCCCACAAATGACAAGCGTCTATTTGTGGAAAGCCCAAGGCACAAGTCTGGGACGTATCCAGGGAGAGCATGCATCTCTTATGAGGGTACTGATAGCTTTGTATGCGCACTACCATGATCATTGCTTGGTTAAGCATCTGTAGCGGGCAGTAAGAAGGAATTATCCCTACAGAGTTTTACAGGGAACTGTGATAAGTTTGTTTTTCCTCGATGCTTAAGGTTTATTCTCTAGGATGGTCCTTTGTGCTCTATTCACATGTGACTTCAGTTCATGTGTGGTTCCCATAGCTGTTTTTGATGGGCATTTGTTGCATTTGGTCAGAGCAGGTCTCTTTCCTGCAAGAGTGCTCTTAGCTTCAGTTTCTAAAAGGAGCCTAACTTGTCATTGCATTCTAGATGACTCCGGCCGCTGGGGAAGGGGTGGTTTGTTTACAGCTCTGGAGACTCGTTCTGATCAGCCAAGAAAAGTATACGAGATGGCAGGAAAGATGAAAGGTAAGATTAAAACATGACCTTAGGCCAAGATACTTAAGAGTTTAAATCCCACTGATGTTGCAGGAGTGAGGAGGCTGAATACCTTGACGGTCATATTTTTTACTCTTTTTCTAAATGTTTACCTCTTAAAGTAGTAACACAGAGGGTGTTTTGACTTGTCTTGGGAGCGTGAGAACTCTGCATAAGGGTTGGTCATTCTGATCCATTCGGCAAATTACCAAAAAAACAGAATCACTATAAACAACTCGTTCATTATCCAGGGAATGTTTTTCACAGTATGAGGCAGAGCCCCATGTCTTCTGTCAAAATGCTTTTAAGTAGGATGAAAGCCATCTCAGTCAGTATCCAATGGGGCCTTTTGTTCCCTCTAAACATTAATCTTCTCCTGAGCATGTATTAGCAGTTTTGAGCTACCTGCAGCTGGTGAAGAATGCACATCTTGCTGTAGGGGGATCTGCTGTTTTTTATAATTTCCCAGTAGATGCTTTATTCTTGTTCCAGTGTTTGTCTTGCCATTTGTGGTCTTTGAGCGGGGAGTGTGTCTGCGTGTGTCGGGGCAGGTAATATCTGCCTTGCTTCTGCGGGCACTTAAAGTGACTGACAGACTGCTGAAACCAGCATGAGGAGATAAAGCAAAGAAGAGTAACACAGGACATGACAGTGAAATGTCTGCTGCATTCACTTACCATTGATTATTTTTTTTCTTGTGTTCTGTTCTTGTTTTCTGGATAGACCTGCATTTAGGAGGAACCTTGTTATTCCCCATTGATGATAAAAAATCCAGGAAGAAAGGACAGGACTTGGTGAGAATGAGAAACTCCTTTTTGTGTTGTTCTGTCCATGTTTTTGAAGCTGTGTGTAATGAACTTGGGTCTTTTTCCCAGTAATAGTGGCACTGAATACTGAACATGGCTTAGTGGCAGTTAAATGTTAGAGAAGATGAGATTTTTTTGAGTTTATGAAAGCTAATAATTAATAATGCAGCTTTCCAGCAGCTATCACTTTATCTCGTACGACTGCGTATAGACTCCACTTCAGTTTTTATGTGTTTTCTCCTTAGTTGGCCTTGATTGTAGCTCAGCATCGAGATCGATCCAACAACTTGTCTGGCATTAAGCTGTCTGCTCTGGAAAAGGGCCTGAAGAAGATTTATTTTGCAGCTAAGAAAAGGAATGGTAAGTGCTTCATGTGGTAGAATAGTGAATCCTCATTTACACGTGTGATTGCACCTAGAGAAGATGACCCATTTCCACCTCTCCTGTGTTACTGTTTCTGAAGTGAAGTAAAAGTGAGATCTCCATGTGTATGTTGTATTCCAAAATATGCCTTCTATTCTTGTTGGGCAGCTTGAACTCTTTATCTAGACTGCTTTCTGTGAGTGTATCTTGTCCTAAAGAGCGTGCCCTCTCTTCACTCCTCAGCATCAGTACATCTTCCACGTATTGGGTATGCGACAAGAGGTTTCAACTGGTATGGTACCGAACGCCTCATCCGGAAATATTTGGCAGCACGGGGCATCCCCACTCTCATGTATCCTTTTGGAGTTTGCTTTATTGGTTCAAAATCTAATATTGGAATGATCCCCTAATTATCTTGGTGAGAACAAGGAAAACATGCTGCAGTCCAGCTAAAAACTTGGTTTATCTGACTTTGCTGTCATTCAGGTACTCACTACACAGTAAGGACTTACTGTCTTAAGTGGTAGTGATCGATTAGTGTATGTCTGACAGAACTTTCTGGAAATGGATGCTCATATTCTGTTGGCAGCCATCAATGTAACTCTATATGCCACATCCGTGGAGGAGATGACTGAAACTTCAGAATAACAGAAATGACTCAAAGTAGAAAAACTAAAGACGTGGGGGGAAAAAAACAACATTACATGTTCCAAGCAAGTTATCACTTGCTTCCTTGGTGAAACATGGGAGCTGGTGTGTGTTGGGACAAGCTCTCGTAACAAAATAGCTCACTGCTTTCACCTTCCAGGAAAGGAATCGAGCAGTTACAAGGAGGTTCTGTTTTGTCACTTCTCTGGGAAGACATGCATTTCTGTAGTGCCACTGTCAGCAATGCTGTGAAATCGAAAATCTGACAGAAAAAGAATAGTATACAGGGCATTCTGCCTTCTTGCTTGGTGAATCTCTTGGTGGACATGTCTGGCATTCCACAGCATTTCCTTGACACTTTTTATTAGATACTACTTCCCTCGGAATAAAGGGTTTTCCTCTGCTTCACAACCATCTTCATCTTCAACAACAGTCTCAAAGCCATGAAGAGGCAATAATTTTATTGAGAAACGTGCACAAAAAGCGAGGATCTTTTTAACATCGTGTATGCATCCACTTCAGAAGTGTGGCTTGCGCAGTTGTTACTTCTCTCTCTCTCTTATTTTACTGGTCAGAACACTTACATACTGTCCTTGGCTCTGGAGTGGAATCAGACTAGTTCAGAGAGTGTTTGGATGAGGATGTTGGCTCAATCCTAAATCTGTTTTGGAGATGGAAATTAAACTTTCATCACTGGTCAGTTGTTATCCCTTACATTAAAGTTCTTGCTATGACTTGGAACAATATCCCTTTAACTGCTTTTTTTCTCCCTTTCAGATTTCATCCCCTGTCACACTATACCTCTGTTCAGTCAGCTTTTAATGATTTCCTGGGACAGTGTACACACACACATAAATGTCTTGATGTAAAGAAGTTGTCTGTATTAACGATGTCGCATGACACCTGCGCAGTATAAACTGTTTATACTGTCCCAGTTCCCCAGAAGCCCAATTAATTTGCATTTGTTCAAGCATAAAAATTTAGCCACGTAATGATGTGCTGACGTTCTAGCAGAATCTTGACCAGAATTGTTGTCAAAGGCATGCAAGGCTGCCAAAACTTGAGGAGGGTTTTATAAATGACACCCTTCCTCCTCCCACAACTACTTTTTCATTATGCAGTTCTTTGAGTGTTGCAGCTGTTGGGCAAAACCAGTTCCTTAATGCAGCCAAAAAAGCTGTTTGAAAGGTTCCCTGACCCTTTGATTCAATTTAAAGAAATCTTAATGCAAAGTTTTTGACGCTGGCTTTATTCTGTTGCAACAGAACTTTCCTGGGTTTCATGGTGTTGGTGCTATTTATTGGCTTTAGCACAGAGGGTACAGCCAGGCAACAGTAGCTCTCCTAGTAAGTGTATTGACCAGAAGGAAAAAGAGAGACAGGGAGGTGCCAAACTTGATTCATCAGTGAGTTGAGCTTCCAAAAGGAAATAATCCCACAAGTGATGGAAAGTATGTCTTTAAATAGTGGATGAAAAGCAGGTTGGCAATTGGCTATCTCGTTACTTTAACATTATCATGCCTGATTTTTGATACAGATTGTCACGCTGACTGGCATGCTCCACACTAGAAGCCTTTCTGAATTGGATAATCTCTCATTCCCTCTTAGCTCTGCTAGAAAACCCCAACTGATTCATTATCTCCTTTAACCCTGCTGAAGCTTTTGTAAGCTAGTGCTGCATTGCCCCTCTGTGGGTAGGACCTTTCAGCTTCTCCGAGGAGTAATCCCTGTGGATTTGGCAAAGGGCTTGCAGGATCAGAGGCTGACTGCGAAGACTTTCTGGGGTGAAAGGTGGTGAGTAGCTGTACATTACCTCGTTTTCCTCGTTAGGTGAACTGGCACTCTTCCAGCTGGCCGGCTGGTGGCACTGTTAATCAGCAGCAGCAGCAGCAGTACAAGTTGCTCTTCATCCTGCTTTCAGAGAGCAGGGCAGTGATCTCCAGCCTGGAAAAATATTACCTTTTTGCCAGAATTAAAGGATCAGTTATGCTTCTCTTTGTCAGCCTCACTGAACACTTAACGTGTAATTTCAGTCTGAAGACTCGAGCCTCTGTTCCTTCACCTCTTCTTTTCCTTTATATTTATTGCCCTTCTATAAAAGGTTTCATTCTTAAGTGTCTCAGTGTGAAGACTTGTTTCTCAGCCACACGCACGCCTGTGGCCAAATCCCAGCCCGTCTACAAATTCTCTGGCCACTATGCACTTGCAGATGGAGTCCTCATCTCATCTCATGGCTGAGGTCCCCCAGAATGTAATGAAGCTCCTTTATAAGTGCTGAATCTGCCACCACTTTTTTCAGGTGTTCCTATTTGAGGCCTCGGGCTTTCCTCTGTTTCTATGAGAGGATGAAGCTCTGCCCGTCCTGTGTGCCCCACTGCCACATCAGACTAGAGTTGTAATGGACAGGGGGGATTGATTACTGGCCTGCTACTGTCCCTTACCCTCTAAGATAAGGTCCACAGAGGGCTGCAAGTTTCCTGGCACGTGCAGAGGAAAGGTCATGGTACACAGTGGACTCTAGCCCTCTAAATTAGGGTCAAGTCAGGCAAAAGATGTTCTCTTTCTTTGCTTCTACTCCTCTTTGCCTGTACTGATGAAATCTACCTTATTTTTTTCCCTTTTAAATTTACTTAGGTTATGCTTCTGGAGTGTTGGTGTTGGTTTGGTTTTTTGTTTATTTGTTTTTTTCATTTTTAAACAATATTCCTTAAGTCTACTGAATCCAAAGGAAAGTCTTGCCACTATCTGCCTTGAAATAGAAGTGAGATGTCAGCTGAGTCCTGAACTGATTTTTGCAGGATCTCTGCCAAGTCAAGTTTTCGTAGTGTTTGCTACCCTCCACCATTTCTCTTTATTTGGGCAGAAATCTCATCTTTTGGATAATTAATTCCATAAAGGGCTCAGTAGCTTTTATGCAAGTTGCTATGCAAAATAATTGTGTCATGCTGTTTCTTCAGCTGTGCAGTACTATACATTTTCCCTTTTTTAAACAGCAACTACCCCAAAAGGAAAGGAAGGTGTTCTTTTGTAGCCATGTCCTTCTGGCCTTTCCTTTTCCTCTAAATAAGATTTTCTACTGGCATCAAGAGATGAAATGTGGCTCCTTGTACACGTGTATCCGGTGCACATTTACTTAAAACTTCGGATGTATGCTGCTTGATTGAGGTCAGTGGCACAGAGGGAGATCATGCACAGTTCAAATTGGCCATTTGAGACCTTTCATCAGAAAGGATCATTGAAGGGGGCATCCAGTCTCTCAGTGAAAAAACTTTCCATCCCATGCTGGAGGCTTCAGCTGATGCCATATAAAAGTGAGCAATAACTCATTAATGTTTGTGCTTGTGCTGGCTCAGCCCATGCTTATGTTCTCTTAGACACATGATTAGATTTTTTTGTTGTTGTTATTTTTTTGGTGGCCCTTTGGGGACCTAGGAGTCGGACTCGATGATCCTTGTGGGTCCTTTCCAACTTGAATATTTTATGATTCTATGTTTCTTACTGGGACGAGGCACTGCCTCTGATTCTCAAAGCATTGTGTGGACAAATTCTGGTTTAGGTGAGGAAGCTAGGGCCTATAACTTGACAATGATCCTTTCATCTTACTCAGTAAGCAGTAAGAAACTGCAGGGAAAAAAAACAAACGGGTTTTATGGATGGGTGTACATCTGTGATTGTTTTGTCAGTGAATACCTCTCTGTGTCCTGGGAAGAGTTGGGATTTTGGGAAGGGAAAAAGGAAGAGTACTTTCCAAGGTGACAGAAAATTGGAGCAGAAGCTGCCGTAGATATCTTAACAAAAGTATTGCATGTGCCTCCAAACAAGGCAGAATTTGGCTCACAAAAATGATTAGTAGTAAAATGATTAGGAAAAGTAGTAGGGTAAATAATTGGACTCATTTAAAAATAAGTGAAACTGAAGGTTGTGAAAGAAAAAACGAGAACAAACCATGAGGAAAGATATGACTTAAAAGCATAACCTGATGCTTAATGTTGTGTAAAAACTCCCACTGCTTTACAATAGATGCTTTTAGAAGAGAGAGTGGATGTTTATTAAGCTAATTTGATTGGATAGCTGGCTGGTCATGAACTGTGCTCAGCAAATCAAGATGTAAGACAATGATTCAAAACACTAAGGGATTTGTTATAAAAAGGGATAACGTCCACATTCCAGAAAGTGCCTCCTGTAGCAGATCCAAGATCGCTTGTGTTCCACATGAATGTGACCAAAAATACATCTCTCCCTGGTTTTCTGTTTGACACATGCTTTTCAGAGTGAAAGATACAAGCCTGAGGAATGCAGTAGCAGGATTAGTAGAATTACAAATGAGTATTTCCTCTTAACAAGCAGATCTCTATATCGTTTTGAGTTCCCTGCGTGATTAAGTCAGTGTGTTTTACATGCTGGACTCTGTTATCCGCCCATCTCAGCCTTGGTCAGATGGTAATTGCATTTGTGGGAAGAAATATAGAACAATATGAAAACTTGATGAGGACAAAAATCATCCGGATCCTCATCTTTCAAACTGAATGTTCTTGCTTGTACTAACTGGCATTTTTCTGAGTGTCTCTTCAAAGTTATGGATAGAAACAGTCCCCTCAAGGATCTATATGAAATGAGAACATGAGTCATGTTTCTGTTGGGAAAAAATTGAAACGACCGTTAAGGAAGCCAGTAGCTGCTTCTTGTAAGACTCGAAAAAGTGTCATTTTTTACTGAGCAATTATTTATTTACTGAAGTATATGAAAGGCATCTACTATCCTTCTTCCCCTGCTTCAGTGAACTTGAGGTTGTAGCACTGGCATTCATGTGATAAGGCTTTTTTTTTTTCTTTTTTATTCTTTTATTTTATTTTATTTTATTTTTAAATGGGAGAAGACAGGCAAATTTGGAGCAAATCAAGAGGTGTTTGTGATCTCATGGAAGCCAGCTACAGAAAGGGATGAAAAATCTGAGATGATATCCTTCATCTGTGTGCCACATCATGAAACAGGCCAAGTATGAGCCTGGCTTCATGTGCGTGTCTTAACTCTTTATCTGCTTGTTCTGCAGTATGCATCTGTAAACATTCTTCAATGCAGTGCGAGTCCATGCACTTGACCACATGCAGATCTTTCCTAAAACATTCCCTGGCCACTATGCCAGCAGGAATGCGAAAAGGTCAGAATAGATGGGATCTAAACAGTGCTGGTTTCTTGCATTGCATGCAGACAGCGTACACCCTGGGCCAAAGACCATGTTTGTTTGATATGGATGTCCTGGAGTGAGCCTGGCTTAGGTCCACTAAAATAATTAAAGGAGTGGAGCATCTGACACACCAGGAGAGGCTGGGAGAGCTGGGATTTTCCAGCCTTGAAAAGAGAGGTTTCAGGAGGGGAATCGGTGTGTATAAATGTGTATTGATGTGTATAAATACTTGATGCGAATAAAGAAGATGGATCCAGATTCTTCTCAGTGGAACCCAGTGAAAGGAAAAGAAGGAACAGTCACAGATGGAAATACATGGAATTCCATTTAAACACAAAACATTTTTACTGGTTCATTTCATTGGTTGCATGTTTTACTGTTCAAACCCTGGAATAGCTTGCACGGGGGGGCTGTGGACTCTCCATCCTTGGAGATACTCAAACCCTGACTTGGCACAGCCCTGAGCAACCTCCTCTAGTTGACCCTGTGCTGAGTGAGGACACTGGACCAGATGATCTCCTAAAGTCCATTCCAGCTTAAATCATTCTCCTGTGAATCTGAGATCTGCTCTGGGTATTCTTAAAACAAACAACCAGGAAACTAGCAACAAACACCTCTAATCCTGCCTATTCAGTAGTGATACGCTACGCTGACGTAGCTTAGCACTTCACAGATTTCTAAACGATGACCCTACCGCACAAGTAGGTTGACTCATGCCAAAAGTTTCCTCATGTCTGAGCGGTTTAAACAGATGATGAAAGATAAGCATGTAACAGCACCTCAGTATCTGCCTCTGAGCCTGTCTTTAGTGTATCCTGTCTTTGCCAGTGTTTTGTTTAACAGCTTGATGCATGTGGGAGAAGGTTGCAGAGGGTCTGAAGTGTATTTGTGCCACCTGGGTCTGGACAGGGCCTAGATGCATCCCCAGCTCTGATCTCGTACCGATCTCCTTTCCTCTGGGTACTGCAATGAGTCCTGCTGCTCTGAACCACAAAACTAGTATTCAGGAGTGAAATTGGTATTCAGGAATCTTTCAGATCTCTTAAAGTCCCTTCTCTGTGTCGAAGTTTTACTCCCCGAGTTTCCATACCCTGTCAGGGCGGGCAGCACCCCCATTGTCCTCCCCACTCCGCACCAGTAAAACCATGAGTTTCTCCCCTGTCCATGATACACGGGTTGAATAAACTCTGTCCTGTTGCTTTTTGTCACGTTCCCTTGCTCTGAGCAGGAAAGCAAGCTGCCCTATAGTGAAGATTTGGCAGCCGGGAGCACCCGGTGATGCTCTCAGCTCGATGTCGAACACTTTCCAGGGCAGGGCGACCGTCTGGTATGCAGCAGGGTGCCGGGGCCGCGGGCAAGTTTAGACACAAGGCGAGATGGAGCCTATTACTTGATACTGGCCACTTCCAGCCAGGTATAGGGTGGGTAAGGTGTACGGAGGTAATGGGACTGCCACACCGGAGCCATGTGGGGACGGTTCCTCCAACTCCTGCCTGCCCGAAATGGTGAAACCAGGCAGCAGTCGTGCTAGACAGTGTGTAGGGGACGGGTGCCACAAGCAAAGTTAGGGCGTTATTTTGGGGAAAAAATGGGAAATATGAAGGGAAATATAGAAGATGTAAGGTACAGGGGCCGCGTGAAGGCAGCGCAGGAGCTGTCTGACAGGAGGCACTCAGTGCCCTTTGTAGGGGCGGGCTGCGCCTCAGCAACTCGGGCACAGGATAGGGATCTGGAGGGGGATCCCTCTCAATTAATTGACGCAATTAATCGTTATTAAGGGCTGAGGAGGGCTCGGGGCCGGCCCGGGGCGGGGCTGTGGGGCGGTGCCGGGCACAGGAAGCGGAAAGCGGCGGCGAACGGCGGCCGCCGCCGGGGGAAGGCGGCGGAGGAGGAGGAGGAGCGGGCATGGGGGAGGCAGGTCGGTCTGTCCGTCCGTGTGTCCGTCTGTCGGTGAAGGGGAGGAGGTGGCGAGGCTCATAGCCTGGCAGGGTGAGCCCCAAAATCGTGGGCGCTGAGAGGCGGCGGCTGTGCTGCGGGTGGGGATGAGGTGGGTGCAGGAGGTGGGTGCTGCCCGGCAGAGGGCAAAGCCGCTGGTTCCCCTAAGGGCACCCTCGGCACAGCCCCTGCAAGCCAGACCCGTCCCGGTTTGGGCTCTTATCTGGGCTGGGAGGAAGGTTTCTTAGGGTAGAGGCTGAGCTCTCCGCTCGCAGGGCGCTGGCAGCCCTCCGGCTGTCACGGCGGGGCTTTCCTCAGCCCTGGGTCTGTCAAAGCGCCTCGCCCCGGAGTGTTTGCAGCTCTGGGGAGTTCATACATTAAGCCGTGCTGCCCAGAGGAGCAAATTGGGATGTTTTGTATATGTTGTGTCACATACACCCCATCGCCGGGGTGTCCCAGCTCAGAGGAAGGCAGCTCCAGCATTGCTTCGGCCAACTCGGCTGCGAACGTGCTTGGCTCTCGTCCCCCTCTGGGCTTTGGCTTTGCAGCCGGCCGCAACTCCAAGACCACTTTTGGCTCCGCCAGCACCTCCCTTGACCATTTCTGCTTCAAAATTAACAAGCGAGCCTTGCAGAGAGCCTCCCCAGAGAGCTCTCCCTGCGAGCCGAGGTGTTGGATGGGTTTCCAGCCTGCCTGGGAGCCACCCAGGCGAAGAGCTCGCTGCCCGTGGTCGCTGGCCGGCTGCCTGGGGGGGAGAGCAGATGCCTGAGCTGTGCCTGGTGCTGCTCACCCAGATACAGGAGGCCTTGTGGCTGCCGCTGGCCTCTTGGTTTTGGGGAGCGGTGGCGGTATTCGTGGTGGCCTTTGATGGATTACAGGCATATGCACCCAGGGAGGGCTTTACCACCACAAGGAGACCAGAGTACGTACTGGGGAAATGCTGGGTTGTGTGCTGTGGGGTTGCTCGGGGTCTGTAGACTCATTTATTTTTTTTAAATCCAAATAGAAAACGTGGGAACGCAGGCAGTCTCCTAAAGGAGAGCGCTTTCACTAGGGAAACCTCTTGTGATTTGTAACCTTTCGCGTTATCTCTCTATCTAACTGCTATGGCTAAAAATAAACTTTGGAAATAAGGTACAGGTACCATCAGCTTGGATAGGCAGAGGCTGAAGCAATAGCCCCGGGGCAGATCTTGCCCTCATTGCTTCGGCAAGGCTGTAGGGCTTTGAACATCGGTACTGAAAACTGTTCCTACGCACAGTCTCTGGTGCTCTGGAGTAACAAGGGTGAGGCAACAACATTTTCTACCACGTTGCACGGCTCCGGGATTGAGAGGTGCGTTTGAAGGTCTAGCAGCATGGGAGACGTACGAGCAAGGAAGTGCAAGCTTTCACCACGCCGGCAGATTGGCAACCAAGGTATAATTTGCATGATTGATGAGGGCTCGAACGCCGGGTGAGCTTCACGAACTTGGACAGCGCAGATGTGGTTCTTGGAGTGGGCAGAGGACAGTCCTCCCGGGAGGTGCTTGACTGATGGGTCCCGTGCAGAGACCTTCCCAAGTGGCGGATCAGCTGCGTAGCGAGGAGGCTGGGGCTTTGCTGGTGGGAAGCACCGCTTGCTGGGGTGGTTTTGGGGACAGCCTCGCTCAATTTTCAGACCTGCGCTGTGGCACGGCGTGATTCAACGTGCAGGTGGATCGCTTCAGTGAGCGGTGACCGTGCTTTCTGAAGTATCCGTGTCACGGACTGATGGTTTTCAGCCGAGGGGTTGGAAATTCCCGGGGGTTTGTGAGCTGTTTCTAAGAAGCCTGCGAGAAGCAGTGAAGAAAAAGGGAGCGTATTGCTGGAGGGCTTGAATTTGCTGACTGCGAAACATTTCTTTTTGGGATGTGGGGCTTGCAAATCAAGAACCGCTGCCATAGAGTAAAGGTCCCGGTTTGCATATTTCAAGGCCAAAACGAACCTTACTTAATGACATGCAAAAATAAATAAAAAGCTTTTGGAAAAACACGTATTCAAAAAAAAACACTTTGGTTTTTTGAGAGCTCGTTGGCAGTTAAAACTGAAAGCCTTGGCTCTGCAAGCAGATCACTGCGGGTGAACTCCTGTGCTTACAAATCAAATGGCTGGATCGGGGCCCGCTCGGGAAATTCAACAGCAAAAAGTTCCTGTGGCATCGCACTTCCAGGCACACGTAACTTCGTGAACCCGCTGCTAAACAGACTGTAAGCGATTGCAAGTCCTACACCGGGTAGGAACGGAGCTGTGCAGGCAAGGTTTTCAAAGCGGAGCCGATGGGGAATTGTTCGCCTCAGCTTCGCAGGGGGGGAAACCCATTGGGAAAGCCTGGGATGTAAAAGAGCGCTCTTGTTTGCGTTCACCCTCTTTGATTTAAAGATGTAACTTGCTCTTTTTAAATTTCCCTTGGGCCGGGAGCCAAGCTGCACTGCCTTGAAGATGATCACAAGGCGAGCTTCATTGGAAGCGGGATTGGGCTCCCAGCGTGGAAAATAGCAATTCAAAGGAACTTTGGGGGGAGATTTATGAGCGTATGAAAAGAGGGAGTTACAATGAGTTGTGTAGCTGCGTAGGAACTGTAATTACAGTGATCTGTACAGCGCTCAGGGGTAACTACATTACATTTCCTCACTGCCGTGCAGGATGCGGCCGTCCATCCGTCTTGCCAGACTAGGGTCCCCGGATTTCCTCTGGGGCCTCTAGTATTGTTTCCCATTTAGTGGCTCACAGTAGGACGAGGTCTGCAGCATCCTTCCTTCGTCTGTCAACGAGGGGAAGGCGAAGCGAGCGTCTCAGCCCTTCTGGGAGCAAAGGGCTCAGCGTGCAGCTGCACAGCGCAATGGTTTGAGTGGAGGAGGACTTCTTTTCACCGGGGTGTGGGTTTTGCAGTTTGGGGCTGTGATGCAAAATGGATCCTGAAAAGGATCCAGGACAAAAGTGTGGACAAGGGGGGAAGAGAGATTGTTTTTTCCCCCTCTCCTGCAGTGGTGCTGTTTGCTCACTGGAGAGGAATGCACCGTGGTGTGGAGGTGGAAGCTACTCACGGTGGCTTCTCCCCCCAAAAACCCAAGGATATTGCAATCGTGCCCTCAAGGAGGAGCTTGCTTTTGTGCAGGACCTGAAGATCTGCAAACAAACAGACTGTGCCTTCTGTGAGATGCGATGATCTTTTTGGGAAGCTGTTTGCATGAGCTAAATGGGGCTCTCAACTCACGCTTGTTTGTGGAGGGATGAGGCCCCGACTGATGGGGCTGCTGCTTTAGGCGGTGCAGTTGTCCCTGCCCAGAGGGGTAGGGTAAGAAAGGTGATGATTTGTGGCTCAGCAGTGGAGGTGGTAACAGATTTTGCTCGGTTTGGATATGGTCGTACTACCTCCAAGGCACGTGCCAGCTTTGCTCAGGCTTCAGCAGTGGGTGCTGCTGGGGTGGTGGCGAATCCAGGGCTGGTTTCTGGCTCTGGCACTCCGAGCTCCAACACGGGGATGCAATTTATCCTGCTCTTTGTCTTCTATCCCCTCCCTGCATCACCGGGAGGTGGTGGTGCAGAGTTCCCTGGTTCATTGCGGCGCTTTTTGACCGCCGTCCAGGAGGCTGAACGTTTTTTCTGGGGGCCTTGCTGTTGACTTTTCGCAGAGCTATGTCAAAACCGTTGCTCGTGTTTACGCAGAAAATGAAAGTTGGCGTGATCCAGCCTGCCCCGACCTTCCTGTCTCGCTGCAAGCCTGCTCTCCGTGCCTGGGTGCCCGGCGCTGCCAAGTGGGAGCTGCTTGCTTGTGGTTCATCTGCTTGCAGGTAGACGGGCCACCCGCACCAGCACAAAGCCTGGGGAGAGTGAGTAACCCGTAATGATGTGCACCAGCAGCTCGCCTTGTTTTTTTTCCCGTTCCTATATCGCGGTGGGGTGTGTTTGTGAAGGCAGTGGTTGCTCACACAGAGCCTCTGGTAATGCCACGAGCAATAAGTGGGTTAATCCTGCAACGCCTCTTAGCACCTCTTGTATTTGGGAGGGTTTGGGTATTGTAGAGGGGGTTTATCCGAGGTTTTCTAGCAGGATGGAGGTAAAAATGAGCCTTTCTGAGCTGCTGGAGCCATAAGCTACAGGCTGTGCGCAGATCTGGGGCGTTGATGTGTTGCATCATGTGTCCCTGGCTCGGGGATTTTTGTTCCTCTTACAGTAATGATGTGATGCTTCAAACTGTGCCTTGGCTTTGTGTTTCCTTTGCCTATGGAGTCTGAATTCATCCTCGTTCCCCCCTTTTCCAAATCCAGGGCTTTATGTTTCCATCCTTATTTGCCCATCCTGGATTCTGTGGTGCCTTCAAGGAGCTTTCTTGAGGCACGATATTCCCTTACAGCCTGGGGATTCACATCCACGAAGGCCAAGTACGAAGCCCAACTGCTGCTGTCGTCCGTCTCTGCTGGGGAAGAGGGAGGGTGGAAAGCAGTGGCTGATGGTTTTATTGCTAACAGCTTTGGGAAGTGCTGTGAGCAGAGCGTAACGGAGGGATTTAATTTAATTTAAAGCAGTCCTTTGCCTGCTCGGAGACTACTGCGTGGCTGTAGCCCCCTGTTCCGCTGGCGTTGGCTGGAAGCAGCAGCGGGCTGGGCAGGAATTTGGGAAACCAAATGCAAGGTATGGGGTTGGGAAGCAGGCGTGTGACTCCTGGGAGCTGTTAGGATGCCACCCAGTTCTTGACCCCAAAAAGCACGACCATCTTCTTCTGCCTTTTGCAGGTGGGATTTAAGCTTTGCTTCCATGCTGCAAGAAATGCTGGCCCATATAAGCCAGATAAGGATCTCTAATCAGTTTTCACCACTACTGTTAATACGTGTGTATATATAGATCCAACTTCTAATGAATTTCAATTCTTCCAAGCCCAAATTAGCTCTTGGAGGCGAAGGTTGCAAAGAAAGGGAGGCGCTTGCAAGAGCCATCGATTGTAGAGTAACTAATGCTTGTAAAACGGGCACACCTTGCAGTTATGAAAACAAAGCAGGTTCAGACACGGTGGTCTGATCGTTTTCAGCATTTCTGCTGGGGTAGTCACCCGCCCCTTCCCCCAGGAAGAGCTGTCACTCTGCATCTGGTGGTGCTTGGGATCTGCATTAATGGGGTGAGAAGAAAGGGGGTGTGGAAGTTGAGCCTTTTATTTTATTTACTTATTTTCTGGCAATTCCCAAGGGGTGAATTTCTCCCTCTCAGCTGCTGAGCCTTCTTTATCAAGTGCCTGATGCTGTTTGTTACAGATTTTTGGGTGAATGAGCTAGACTTTGCAAAACAGGGTTACGTTATCAGTTTGTTTAAGGATCTGCAAATGTGTGTGTTTCTCCAGACAAAAAAAGAGAGCGATCGGCCAGGATGAGCTTGTGAGCTGGGGACATGTGGCCGGGTGGAAGAGGGTGAGGGAATTAGCACAGCAGGAAAACTGTTTTGCTTTGCTTAGCATGCATTTCCATGCCTGTTTGTCTTCCCGCAGGCCGACCGTGAGGAGCAGAGCACCCTCCCTCCTCCCCATCTGGAAGGATTCCTGGTAAGTGAAGCGTCCTCGAGTCCCCACGGACCAGGCCTCACTGATGACTGGGAAGCAAAGAGTACCCAGGAAAGCACTTTTATCACGGACTCCACCTCAGGAGCACCAGGAACCCGTCTCTAAGTAAAAACCTGTGCTGCCGTCCGTGCAGACCCCGATGTCTGCTGCAATGGATACAGAATCAACGTATTCGGGATACTCCCACTACTCAGGTCACTCCAAAAAAGCCCACAGACAAGGGTAAGGAAGTGTTTATTTTTAATTACTTGCTGCTGTAAGCTAGGATGTGTACTCTGGGGGAAAAAATATAAGTCAGGATGAAATCACTGAAGCTCCAGCTCGAGGGAAGATGCATGTGGAGAGTCCTCAGGGGGAGCCAGGTGACAGGATAGGAAGCAATTATGCCACTAGCTTAATGACATTCAAACTGTTGCACGCACGCTGGGGTCATGTATGGCCAGCAACACTGGGGAAGCACTAGCAGAAGGAAAAGATCACTTAATTCTGCTCTTAAAGTGTGCGGGGTAAGTAGAGCTCTCTGGAGAGATGTGTCAGACTTCCTACAGTGATATTGCCACTTGTTTTCTATCTTAATGCCATTTCTTTATTGTGTAACAACAAGGCTGCCTTTCTCTTCCCACCATCCTCCTGGCGACTCTTTGTTGGTGGTGTTTTTTTAATAGAACTTGAGTGGTACTTGAGTCTACAGCAAGCCCTCTATCAGCATTGATTGGATTAGAAGCCAGGCTTTTCTGAACTCGAATAGCAAGTCCTCTTTCTGTCCTGGTAGCTCAGTGGCATCAAAAACCACCTCGCTCTAAAACATCTGATTACTTGGAAACTGTTTTTTTTTCATCATCGTTAGTTTTAAATGCAAAGCCTGTGCTATTTGCAATCTTTGTAATTTACAACTGAGCTGGTCCAAAATAACTTTGCATTTCAGAAGCAATTATCCTGTGTGGTTGGAAAAAGAGCTCTTCCACAAAATTGTCTCTTTGCTTGCAGTCTGTTTCTTGAGTAAAACATTTCATTTGCCTTTCCTCCCTTCTCCTGTAACACCCGCAGCCCCCTGGTGCAGATTGTCCTTTGAAGTTTAGAATAAAATGTGGAAAGATGCCTTCGAAGTTCCCAAAACTACATACACAATCCCAGAGCCTCTTACTGCAAACAGGAAAAAGTCTCATCCCATGAAACCTTTAGGCTCTGGTAATCCCAAAAGAGATGCAGTGGCAAGAGCTGGGATTTTGGATGCTCCTGAGCTTTAAGCCAGTGCAGTGAGGGTCTTTGGTGCAAAGACTGCTTTCCTCTCCAGGTAGGAAGGGAGGGGGAAATATTGGCGAGCAGATAGGTGGATAGGTGAAAATCTCTTGAGATATTCTCAAATGAGAAGCCATGAGGTTTACAAGGGTATTCTGGCAGTAAGCACTGCCCTGCTACCCTTGGTGTTCTTTGTAAGAGGTTAGCTGGGGGCTGCTGACCAGTGGAAACAAACTTCACCAGTTGTCCTGTGGTGTTAGGAAGGTTTTAGCTGACAAGACTCCACATCACAGGAGCTAAGGCTGTCTGAGAAGCTAAACTGTCCCAGCCACCAGGGCTGTAGGCTGCTCTGGGGGAGGCCACTGCTGCTTTGGAAGCTTGTTCTGTAACAAATGAAATCAGTGTTGACCAAGAGATGAGCAAGCAGGGACTATAACCTAATGCTTAGGGCACCTGCTGCAAGTACGAGGTGGTGTAATTCCAGGCCGTGCTCTCTGCTAACTTTCTTCTCCTCTCCTTTGGAAAAGGAGTCGCGACAGGCACAAATCACCACGAAGCAAAGACGGCAGCCGATCCGAGAAGTCCGTCACTATCCAGGCACCTCCTGCGGAGCCGCTGCTGGGGAATGATGCCTCTCGGACAGAGGAGGGCCAGGTAAGGAGGGAGTGAAGGCACACCTGGAGTCTGGAACAGAGCAAATGAGTAAGGGAGGAAAAAAGCATTGCTCACGTGCTGTTAATGTGCTTCCACGACCTGTGGCTACCATTTATTCACTCATTAAGCCCAGGTCTCGTTCAGTTTTGTCTTTCTGAGAGCATTATTTTTGACAGCACCAGTGCTGACATGACTTACCCCTGGGGCACTAGTTTACCTCTGTCTCCAAAGAGTGCCATCTGCTAAGGTCTATAGAAAAGGTGTGTTTCCATCACCTCACCGTGCATTATTCAGGTCAATCCTTTCACCTGCGTGTACTCTTTTGTCTTTAGATGGGATTTGCTTAGGGTAATAGTGTAAAATGTGAGGGCCAGGATCCCAGTGGAGAGGAGAGGCATAAAGGTAATGCGAAATTGCTGGGAAGGGGAGAAAAAGCTCAAAACTCAGTGAAGCTGGTATGTTAACACTGGATTAAGTAAAGAAGGGAAAAATCCTGGGTGTAGATTGCATCTAGGATGGATCCAGTAATCTGAGCTGTAGCAGCTGATGTGAAGGTGCATTCTCATTTTCAAATAATCACTGATGCTGCAAAACAGAGTGCAGGATGTTTCATTGCCTCCTGGGTTGGACTTTTGGTATGTTAATTTTTGGCTGTGGGGCTTCACTTCTACTTAAAAAAAATAATAATAAAAAAAGTAATATTGATGCCCAGTTTCCACCCAGATTATGTGTGGTAGTACTTAAAACAGTATTTGTGTAGCTGCCAGTGGGCTTACTCCCTGTACATCCACGTAGTATTTTGTAACCAAGTGTTTGTTTTCCAGAGCTGTTACTTTGAATGCATATAAATGTCCAGGTGAATTTTTAAGCCCTTGTTTTCATGCAGACCTCCGCAGTGCAGTTCAAAGTCAAACAAAAATAAGTTGATGCATGAACAAGAGTTCTCTCCTGCATGTCCTGGGTTGCGTTCAGCAGCTTTGTACCACTTGAGATTTAGACTTGTAAATGCATGATTTTTCTGCTTGTGCCACTTCATATGGGAGGAGCTTTCTTAAGTGGTAGACTGGGACTGAAGTTGCCTGTTTTCTTCTGGGCTGTAGCCTTAAGCTGCTGTCATGTTTCAATCCCTTCTCTATTGTGCAGTTTCTTGTCAATCAAATGGGGGAAATTATGCAGAACTATTTCATACATAAGCATAAAATACTTGAAATGCTTAGATCGCTTTACTGGAGACGCTGGCGAAAAGGAAGATGTGATATGATTATGCTCCCTTTCAGGACACCTTGCAATGCAGATATATTTCTGTTTTGATGAGAAGTGACTCAAAACTCAGATAAATTCAAGTTCCTGACTGTGGTTGGTCTGTCTCAAAGCCCTGCTGCAGTAGGCAGGGAGGTATTGGTGTCTTGAAGAGCATCAGGAGGTATATCACTGGAGCTGTTTGTAGTAATGTTGCTGCCTCTGTCCACTCTTCTCCCAAGGATTCTTGAAGACTCTCTCCTGTAGCTCTTTTAAAGAGGTGAATAATGGTTTAAAAGTGCTCTGATACGGAGGAAGCCCTGTAGTTGTACATTTCTACAGCACTCTTATGTCCATAGGTATTATGTCTTGTGCTTAAAATGATGCCTATTTCTTTAAAACAAAGTGCTTAGATCAGCGTACATAGCTGCCAAAGTCTGGGAGAAGGTGTAAATCCTATTAACGACACGGGTTGCAGAAAGATAGACTCAGGAGGGTGAAAGGAAAAGCAAAACGTGGACTTCTGAATGAGCCTTGCAGCTACAAAGGCGTCAGGTGCCAGGCAATAAAACATAGGCTTTGCTGCTGTTTGGTGTTTGTAGGAGGTATCAGGAGTCTTCTCCTGACCGAGTCACTTCAGCAGCAGCTGTGAATCAAATCCGTGTGTGTCAGCATAGCTCTTTGGTCTTGCCAGCAGCAGGAAGGAGCAATTGGAGGCATGATGGTGTGGGTGGCAGCCCTAGCTCGCCAAACTCCTCTGAAACGAGCTAGGGAAGAAATGAGGCCTTTGGAAAAACAAGATGTCATCTGAAGCTTGACTATATTGTAGTCTGTGATCCTCAAATTTAAAGCACCATACCTGCAAATATCCTCGTCGACCACCTGTAATTTTTTTGGTTTAACTAAGCTTTTATTAGCATGTCAGCTACTGAGGGCAGTGCTACTGTAGAGGAAGAAAAAAAAAAAAAAAGGAAAAGTTAGAGGAACTTGCTGGAAATGCAGTTGTTCCTCTTACTGATGGAAAAACAATGTGTGAACATGTTTTTGATTGTAATGACTGCAGCTGACCTGAAATGAAACTTTCCCTTCCAGGTGATTCTGTAATGCACTCGTACCACAAAATTTGTGGGGAAAGTGCTAGTCCTTGTTTTGCACGTAGGACTTGATGGTTACTGCAGTTTCCAAGAGTTATGTCCTATTGCTTGTTAAATGTGCTGGAAGAACTGCCTCTGGGGTACCCTGAGTGGTGTAGGAAGTTGAGCTACTTGCTCTACGGTTACAGGTTTTTAACACTTCATGTTTATAGTCACTGGTTTGGACATAGTGCTGTTGTTTCCAAAACTTTGGTAATTTTCTGGGTTGATTATTCAATATATTGCAGGTGTTGGTTTTTCTTAGCAGACTTAAGTTTCTTGTAGCAATCCCTTTCCAGGCCAAAAATAAAAAATAATAAAAGACGTGGAAGAAATCACGTGATTGTTTCACCGATGTTTTTCTCTTTCTCCTTTAGGATGACAACTGGGGCGAGACCACAACAGCAATCACAGGCACCTCCGAGCACAGCATTTCCCAGGAGGACATAGCCAGGATCAGTAAGGACCTGGAGGACAGCGTTGGGTTGGACTGCAAACGTTACCTGGGTTTAACAGTGGCAGCTGTTCTCGGACTCCTCGTCTTCCTTACCCCCATCGCCTTCATCCTGTTACCCCAGGTCCTGTGGCGGGATGATCTGGAGCCGTGTGGTACTGTCTGTGAGGGCCTGTTCATCTCTGTGGCGTTCAAACTCCTCATTCTCCTGATTGGGACCTGGGCTCTGTTCTTCCGCCAGCCCAAGGCAGACCTACCGAGGGTGTTTGTGTTTCGGGCCCTCTTGTTGGTCCTCATCTTCCTGTTTGTGTTTTCCTACTGGCTTTTTTATGGCGTTCGCATCTTGGACTCGAAGGACACCAACTACCAAGGAATAGTGCAGTACGCGGTGTCCCTGGTGGACGCTCTGCTCTTCATTCACTACTTGGCCATCGTGCTGCTGGAGCTACGGCAGCTGCAGCCCATGTTCACGGTCAAGGTAGTCCGGTCAACAGATGGAGAGTCACGATACTACAGCTTGGGGCACTTGAGGTAGGTACACGCTGCTGAAATCCAGTGGTGCAGATAAATGTGGCTGTGCCACAGCGCAGAGCGCCAGCTGCTTTGGTTTGTGTGGTACCTCCTGGTTTCCAAATCTTCCCCCTGAGGTTTCCGAATCTTCCACTGGAGGAATGGGGAGAGGCTTCCTTGTGTGGCTGAGGCTGGTTTGTGCTTTTTGGTTGTGCATGCCAGGGGTCATTTTGAGAGCCCCCTGCAGAGCATCACTCTTCAGAGCATCCTGACTGGCAAACCAGTCCCTTGTGTTCATGTGGCAGGGGCTGAAGGAAGTGGCCCTGTGTGAGGAAAGCATTTGACAATATAACGTGCTAAAATGCAGAAAACATCTGTGTCCTCACTGCCCTGTGCAGCCAAGAGCTGTGGAAGGAACCTGAATAAACATCCCCTGAGTCGAATTGAGCACTGTCACTCGGCTTCTCTGTGAGCCATTGACAGCTGGTTGAAATGCTTGCATTCAGGTGTTTGAGCTCTGACACCTGATTTTGTGACAGGTGGGAGATGCCTTGAAGGGTGTAGACAGATAGCTGTACCCTGGGGTGCTTTCAGTGGCCAGGGACTCTTTTCTAAGATCGGGAGTTGACTGCATTTTTGTATTGGCTCTGGGGAAGCTTCCTCTGAAGCAGTTGCCTTAATGTGGCCAAACTCCCAGCAGTTTGGACACGTAAGAATAAATACTGGGACATGTGTAGGTGCAAGCTGCTGTTTTTTTTTCTTTTTAGTGGTGCTGTACTTCTCTAGAGTTGGTTCTGTATCATGATGGTACCTACTCTTGTTCTCACTGGTGTTGATCGGTCTGCTGGGTCGGATGTTGGGAGTGTTTGGGAGATGTGCAGTATCTGTAGGTCTGATGCATGCCTGCTTCAGCCTTCCCACTGGGATTAATGCTTCCCTCTGCAGAGGTGCAAGAGAGGCCAGGTGTCTCAATCTCCTTGGTTCCGGTGTCCTGTGAAGGTGTCTAGAAATCTCTCAGTTCCTATGCCCTGTGGAGCCAGCAGCTGAGCTCTGAAGATGATTCCCCAGACTGTGTGCGCGCTCAGGCATCTGTTCCGCTTATCTTGTCCAGACCCCTACGGCATGCATATTTATTGCAGATGGAGAGATTAGCGTCTGCTTGTTTAAGTGGATGTAGGAACAGTCTCCTGCAGCCATTAGCTTAGCGATGGAATTGCTTTGAAGCAGATTTAGTGGTTGAAGCTCAAGTCTGGAAGTCGACTCCTGGATGCTGATCCTGCCTTAGTGGGAGAACCCGTGATCTCGTGAACGAACCGGGTCTGGACTCTGCTGTATTTTCCTTCTCAGCAAAATGTGAAGCAGAGCCCCTTTTCTGTAATGGAAGCTCTCCAGTTGACTTACAAAAAGATCACCTTTGGAGGTTTAAAAAAAAAACAACACAGTGGAGATTACTTTTTTTTTAATCTTAGAAATTCCTCTAAGGTAAGTGACAGACCTAGGGTGGCCTCTCAGACTAGGGAGGTGGAGAGAGCTACCAAAGATCCCCCCTGTACTACAGTTGTGCACCTTGGGGTGTGCCAGGGCAGTTCTCACATGGGTGATTCAGCCCAGAAAATTCAGTCTTTGTATGTATGTACCTGTATGTACACACGAGTGCGTGCTTGGTTTGAGAGGGTTTGGTTGCTTGGTGGTATTGTAGACTCTGGATTCGTGTTCAGAGGAATTTAGATCCTACTTGTGCCAAAGTCTACACGTCTACCTTTAACCACACAAATAATCTTGCCATCGGAAACAAATCTACTTGAGAATCGAGACCTAAGTACTGAACAGCACATGTGTTAGAAACAATGCTCTCTCAGGTTTTCTCTTTGCAGCAAGGTTTTGGAATGCCTTGGGTGATTGCGAGGGCAGCAAGGACTTGTAAAACCGAGGGTGAAACCTGAGATGTATGAAAAATTAATAACTTTTCATTTGTTGGCAAGCTGATTGCAATTTTGTCTGGCATATTGAATCCAAACCGTGCAGAATGTGGATGCTCAGCACCTTGTGTTACAGGAGAGTCTTGTCAAGCACGTCTAATAACGGTGAAGTAGCCTTGCTTTTTCTTTAGTTTCTGGCAGCTGTATAACGTGTCTGTGTTGTCTTCACATCTTTGCTGAAATAAATAAAGGTAGACCTGTGCAGATCTGACTGGAGGCCACGTGTTGACAGTGAGTGTAGTTCAGGAAGACTGGAGAAGAAGCAGCCTCGTGAGCATCCTGGAGAGAGGGTCAGAGTTATGATGTATGATGTGTGTATTGCTTGTTGCTGCCCGTGGGCTCTTCCCGTTTACCACCATGTATGTTTGCCTCACCCCAGCCCTTTTGAAGGTGCCATAGATAGGTTGTGGGCTACCACCTGGAAGGAGGAAGCATGCTTCAACAGGTATAAAAACCTGGCTGCCTCCTGAAATCAAAACCCTGTTGCCTCAGCCTGACCTTTTGTCATCTTTGTGCTCCCAAAGGTCTGAAAGTTTTGGTCCCTGCTTCCCCCACGGATTCTGCCTGCCTTACCCATCCAAAAGATGCTCCCAAGGGGCTGGTATTGAGAAGGCTCTTGGGACATCTAACTTTGGCGTTGCTCCTTGCAGTAGCTCTGGATCTTTTCCATTGCAAAAATTTTGCGCGTCAATCTTTCTAAATACAGGCGTGAGCTTTCAAATTCTGGGTCTTTTCTGATGAGACAGAGGGAGCTGCTTTTTAAGCGTGAGGAAAAGAAACGCTATGGGGGAGAAGGGAAGAAATCAACATCTCAGCCTCCCTTTCGGAAAACCATATTTTTGTGAGGTAGGGTAGATGGGATTTTCCATCCTTCCCAGCTCCAAGAAGCTTAATATGCAGAGTTTGATATTCCACACCATCCTTGAGAGCCCTGTGCCCAGGAGGGTAAGTGTATTTGGGAGTAGTTCCCCAGATTCATATTATAATTAACCTATTAATAGCCTGGCTTGGTCCCACCCCCAGCACTTTGGTTCTAACTTTTCTTTTGGGAGGCTCAGCTGCCAAAATGCACGTTCCCTTTGGCAGTGACTCAGAGTTTGGCAGGGGGAGGTAAAAATTAAAGTGGAGTCCCCATGAACGCGGTGCCAAGTCTCGGCTTACTGACTGCTCTGCTGCCTCCTGGCAGGAGGAGCTGCCCTGCCAGGCAGGGGAATGCTTTACGGGGGTACCTGTGGGCAAAGAGCAGGGAGGAGAGCAGAGGCAAGGAAGCAAAGCCTGGGAAAAATGCAAGAGAGGTTGGGTGGGGATGCTGGCGAGACTTTTGAAAGCAAGAACAAAGGGGAACAAAGGTGGGGAAGAGTGACAGGAGATAACTTTCCTGTTGAAAGGCTGATGGCGTTGTAAGCTGAGGCTTGGATTTGCAGCCTGACAGGTAGGGACATTGATGGCATCTGTAAACCACGGCTCTGTTCCTTCTGGATGGTTGAGAAATAATCTAGGAAGGATGTTGCTGGAGAAAGCCCTCCTCTTCTGTAGTGAGGGTGCTGGACTTACTCCTTTCCTCTCCAGTGAGTGTTCTTCCCCCAGCCTAGAGCTTTGCTAGTCTAGACAGCTCAGGAAAATTAATGGCTTCAAACACACATGGTAATTACTGATCTTACACATTGACTGTGTGTTGGGCTACAGTGCAAGCATGGCTTTCTGAGGTTAGAAGTGTCTTTGAGTGGGTCTTTCTCCTCCCTTTTTCTCATCCCTGTGGTAAGGACATGAGAAGCACATCTGTGATAGTTCATGTGTCTGTAGGCAGACTGGAGCTCTCAGTAGTTCCTTTTTTTTAAATGTCCTTCTTCATGTAAGCTTGTTGTTATGAACTGATGGGTTGGGAAGCCAGCTGGGAGGCCGCCGTACAGCTTGGGAGTCAGGATACAGCTTCTGCAGGCTGTTGTGAGCTGGGTGGTGTTCTTTGTCCATCTAATCAAGACAAGCTTGGTACGGGGAAATAGTAGCTCCATATGGGAAAAAGTCTGTTAGCGTTGCTCATCCCTGTGTTTTCCATCTGTATTTGGGTAGGTATTTTGTTGAATCATGGTTTAAAATCCAAGCAGCTGCTTCCTCAGAGCAGGTGTATGTCTCCGAAGAGCCTGCACCTTCCCTGCAGGAGTTAGCCATATCTTCCTGAGGAATCTTGTGGCTTGTATATGCTCACAAAACAAAGAAGATGCATGAAAGTGTTTTGGAAGGGGAGCCTGTCTCTTGGCTGACCTGGAGCAGCAGAGCATATTTCTTAGGTGCCGCTTGAACCCTTACCTTTAACACAAAACAAAGCTGAAACAGAATGGCGTGGTGGGAGACGATGCCTCTTTTGATCCATCTGCTTTGGGTTGGCAGTCTAGTGTCTGTTGAACCTACTGCTTGTAAAATTGATCTCTAGGCTGCCAGTATTTACTGATTTCATCTGATAAGCAATCTCTTGTGTGTGCCCCTTGGTGCCACCAGGGCCGTGCTCTCTAGTAAGAGAGCATATAGAGGGCTTAGGACTGGGAAGAAGCATCTTCAGGCCACAGCCTGTTTTTCTATGCCTTACACATCTGATTTTGCAACAAATAGGTGTTGCTCAGATGAGTCCTCCACTTATTAAGGGTGAAATTTTTTCAATTAGTAACACTTGGTCAAGATTTGAACTGTACGGAGAGCTCCTGCCTGAAGTTCTGTCAACAATTCTCTCTTGACTTTGCTCTCTTAAAATCTCCCTGCCCCCCAAAAGGAAAGCGTCTGTGGCGTATGACACCTCTTGTTTCTGTTTTCCAGTGTGGTGAAATGGATCGGCTTAACCATGGGTTTAGCAGGCCGCACGTCTTGCCTGGGGCAAGAACTGCTGAAACCATGCTGCCTTCTGGTGAAGGAACTTCATAATGTGCATCTAATTAAATCGGTTATTCCCACTGCGACTGATCCCATGCACTTGTGGGCTATTTCTGTTTCCAATTGGGTGGTCAAGTGTGACTGCAGAACAGTCATCTGTGTATGTTGGTGCAGAGCTGT